ATTTGATAGAAACAGATTGGGCAGTTGTGGGGTTGGGGATTTGACTTGAAATTAGGCAAAAAAAAAAAAAAAAACGTCCAGGCAGAAGTAATATATAAGTCCTATTCTTCTCTGAATTGGTGATCTGACTGAAAATATTTGGGTTATAGATTTCCATGAATGTTTTACTTTAATTACAATTTCTGTCATCTTCTACTGTTTCCTTTGTAAAACATATCTAAGTGTACAAAAAAGTGCTGTATAAATTGTATGTATTATTATTTATTATTATTAAATGAGACTTTTAACAGAAAGTGGACAAACAGAAAATAATTAAGAAAAAGTTCTGTATATCGAACCCTCTATACTTACAGCTGCACTGAGATACCAAAGTGCTCCTGGTGTTGTGTGTTTTTGTATGCATTGCAGATTTTGAAAGTGCGCGTTGTTCATTATGAGAACGGAAATGTCAGAAGCATGAGTCACTAAACAGAGGACAAGTGTGTGGAGAAGATGTCCATGTATCTCTTTGGTTGCTCGGACAACCACAGGAATCTTTGAAGATTTACGAGTTTAGAGCGGCATTTGTCATGTAAAGATACTCACGATCTTTTTTCCTCTTATCGAACACATTTTTCAATTTCAATTTAATCTAATTATTTTAATCTAATAATTCTAATTAAACCAAATAAATATGACGATCAATCTTAATTTCATGAACAAAAATGATATAGACTTGTCATTACCATTTGACACAAAATCAGTTAAAGGTGCACTGTGGAACCTTTTTCAGCAACATGTTTTTCTTTGTTTTGTTGTGTTTTTTAGTTGGTTTTACAGTAAAGACAAGACCCATTTCCTAATCTTAACAGGTTGGTCTTAATCTGTACCAGACACAGGAACTGCTGCAACACGCACACGGACAAAATGCCTATTTGTATTTACGGAATCGTAGGCTGCTGACAATTAAATGGGTTTGTGACAGCTGGTTTTAAACAACTCATTTTTCTATGGAAGAAGAGTAAAGCAGGACAACACAAAGACACTTTTAAATGAGGACGCTTTTAGAAATTCAAAGGGGATTAAATGTGCAATCGTCAAAGGGCAATAATAATAACATCACTACAAAAAAGCTTGGGCTAAAATTTAAGATATAAACACTTAAATTTATTAGAAAATGACTTAAAAGTAATGAAATTATCTGTCCATGCAGCAAGATCATTTTATTTGACAAATTATCTTAAAATAAATTACCTCTAGACTAAAATTAAACATCTCGGTTAAGGGTTCATGAACTGGAAATAAGTTTATGGATGCTAAGTTTTAAATAAACATACTCGAGTATCAAGCAAATCTGTATCAATGAATCTAAAAACAAGTCAATGTTGCAGGGGAAAACTCTGGTAAATGAACATAAAAACTGTAATTAATTAATGAAAGAGTAAACTACCAGTAAAAACATACATAAGTCACACTGAACTATAAGTTGCACTTTTTGGGGGAAATTTGTTTTATAAAATCAGGGACCAGGAACTGACATTTCATCTTGAAAGGCAAGAAGAGAGAACAACAGACTGTTAATGTCACATATGAACAGTTCTTCAGATAAATATAACATAAACAACAGAACAGAACAAGTTTACCAAACTCTCCATCTCACTCCAAGTCACTAAATCCACTGAATTCTCCATCCTCGGTGTCACTTCTGAGCAACTCGGTGACCTACGGAGGTAAACGGAGCGCCGCTTCCTCTTCAGGCTCAGCATCAGTTCCAGTTAGAATTATTCTGGCCTTTCTGAATCGCGACTGGATGGTTTCTGTGTCATTAAAGTCCAGGCTTTGTCCATCCATCCAGTGACTTTCAGGAAAGTTGCATGGTGCATCCTCCCGGTGTCACAAGTTTCCCTTTCACTCCAAACCTTCTTTCTACTGCTCGGTTACCGTTTTCGGCTGCAGATTTCAAGACTTGCAGTTTGTAATCTGCAAAATATGATTTTCTTTTTGGGGGCATTTGTGTTCAGTTTTCTCAGTCGTCTTTATAAGTTTGTTTAAATGTTAAATTGTCAGTGGTACAGAAGTAATGGTGCAATTGACTGACATGATACAGACAGGACAGAGGCTCTTTTTGCAGGAGACATGCGCAGTAGAGTGAAGTAACAGTGGTACAGGAGGAAAAGGAACACCACTTCAGTGTGAAAATTTTAATATATAAGTCACACCAGAGTATAAGTCACAGGAAACACCCAAACCATGAAAAAAGTGCCACTTCTAGTCTGAAAAATATGTCGGTGAAAATGGAGAGGGACATACGTGGAGATGCGTCCTGGTCTCTTGTGACAAGGAGTCGCCTCTTCACAGATCTGACCTTTAACGTGGTGACGGACCAGAAAATTGACATAATGTATCTATTTTCACTTAAATTCTGAAAATCCCTGAAATAAAATGTGCATTGTGCATGTTTCACAATATGGTATTAAACCTTTTGATCTTCATGGAGACCAAGCTAGACCGAGTTACAGGTCAGATCTGTAGAGTGGCGACCTCGCTCACAGTCAGAATGCCTGTTTTTCAAGGTGTTGTTGAGCTATAAAACCATCTACAATTTAATAAGTGTAAAGTAGAACTGTTTAATATCATACTGTGGAACATTCCAGGCAGAACAATGGCATCTCCATATAACTAGCTGGAGGATTTGCATGTTTTAAATGAACACTGGGGGTGACTGTGTGTGGTGGATTTGTGCTTGGTGTTGTTTGTGAAGCTTGTGGTGTGTTTGGGAGCCACAGGACACAGTGGGAACTTTTGGATGCGCTCTGTGTTTAATCTGGTGCACAACAATAGAAAAATTAGAGCAACATGTGTCACTGTTTATGCCCTGTTTATCTATGGAGAGAAGACAAAGGGCAGAGTCAGCATCGCCCCACGTATCTTCACATGAATAAATGTAAACAACCGAGCAACATCAGAGCTCAATGTGAACTTAATTACACAAAAATATAATAATGGATGTACAGGGTGTCCCAAAAAATTCATTTCACAGGCCAATATTTTTTGCAATTCTTGTTGAAATAACCTCAAATTTTCACAGAATGTATAGAAACATCAATTTATTTTTGGTCTGTTTTCAGGTTGAGCTGTTCTCTTCCAAAGATAAGTCATTTTGCATCTTGGAATCTGCTCACACACACTGACCCAAGACTTCACCAGCTGGCAAACAAATATGGACTTGGTATGAAAAATTTAAAGAGAAAGGGCTAAAAGACCTGTTAGACCATCATCAACATCAGAAGAGAAGGTCGAGCAAGTTTGTGAAAAATTCTTGTGAAGCCCAAAGAAGTCTGTAAGGAATCGAATGATGGTTTGGATCCTGTAGCCCTGCATGAACAGCCATCCTCTTTAAATTTTTGGTACCAAGTCCAAATTTGTCCAAAGTTTTTCCAAATTTTGCACTGAAGGATGCAAAGTCTTGGGTGAGTGTGTGCAAGCAGATTCCAAGACGCAAAATAACTTCTCTTTGGGAGTGAATGGCTCAACCTGGAAAAAAAAAAAAAAAATTGAAACCTGGTTCCCTATGAGGCATCGGTGGGGTCAGTTCATCACCACGGAAACAGCTTATGAGGAGCCCAGCCCATATTACATGATCGTTATATCCACAATACAATGTGTGTATCTGTACAGGCCCATGAACACTTGTGTGATATTGGTCACACATGAGAATATCTGTGTTTACTAGTGTGGAACCAAAATGTCATTTTTCATGAGTTGTGTATATGTTAGTTGTGTGACTGTAGATCACTGTGTTGTGTATCACCAGAAAAACAAGAAATGGAAATTATTTTCGTTCCAATTAGAATTTTTAACGGCATACACTGAAAGAGAAAGGAATTGTTATTATGAGTGATTATCTTGAAAACTATTAATATCTTATCATACAAATGCCTACAATTATAAATAGATCATAATTTTCCTGAGATTTTGAGACCACTCCTGTTGCTCTAGCTCCATCCTTCGCAGAGTTATGACCAAAAACGCATATTTGACCTTGGTTACCTTGACCTTCAAGTGAGCTTGACCAGTTTCAGTCTGTAATCCAGTGTACCCCGGTTATGTGTGTGCCAACTTGTGTGATGATTGGGTGAATATTTTAGGTCACAGATGGTTCAGAAATTGTCTAAATTGCCTTTATCCTATATAATGGTGTGACACATTCAATTGACCTCTGTGACCTCAAATGACCTCACCAAACCTTTATTGCGGCATCGGGCATGGGGGCTTGACACGTGTACCAAATTTGGTGACAACTGGTCCATAAATGGAGGAATTATCACGGGTGGACAGACATACAGACACACAGACACACACAGGCACACAGGGTGAATACAAAACCTGGTCAACACTTCGGGGACCAGGTAATAAAACACTAAATATAAAATCTTGATCTGTTTCTATACATTCCGTGAAAATGTAAGGTTATTTCTACAAGAATTGCCAAAATTATTGGCTTGCGAAATTATGTTAAATTTTTTGGGACACTGAATAAGGGCAATCTAGGGCACTTAAATCACGAGACTGTATAAAGAAGCGTGTCGAGGTTAGCAGTTAGAAGCACAAATTTGAAGCCAAGTTTTATAACAAGTTTCATAGCAGGATCAACCTCAGAGAAAGAAGGCACTTGATTTGTCTGTTATTAATGGTCATATTTTGATTTATAGACAAAATAGCTAAATAAAAATACAAAGGGATTTACAAAGGGAAGAGGCAGCGGTCAAAACCCCAGTGTATACCAGGGGCAAAAGTCACCCCAATTAATTCATTTCAGTATTATTTTTTATCGTCTATCCTTTCTTCAGCAATATATTATGCTTCAAAATTTGTTACCGTGACAGATTTAATTGGGGGAAACCGAAATGGATTCACAGACACGGGGAGAACATGCAAACATCGGACAGAAACCTCACGCAGTTTGGAGCTCCTGTAATCTAAAACACTGCTGATGTGCGTGTTTATTTCTGTGTTTGTAGTTTGGTTTTCTTGTGTATTTACACTTTGGAGGCAGCGCTGAAAATCCTGTCCAGAGGTTTCTGTTTGGGACCCTTCACTTACCTCCGAGACTCCTGGAACAGACTGGACGTCGTCATCATCATCACTGGGTAAGAATCCAACTAACAGAGGAGAGGGAGTGAGTATGTGGTACAGAGGAGGACAGTGAGTATGTGGTACAGAGGAAGACAGTGAGTATACAGTACAGAGGAAGACAGTGAGTATAAGGTACAGAGGAGGACAGTGAGTATACAGTACAGAACAGGACAGTGAGTATACAGTACAGAGGAAGACAGTGAGTATAAGGTACAGAGGAGGACAGTGAGTATACAGTACAGAAGAGGACAGTGAGTATATGGTACAGAGGAGGACAGTGAGTATATGGTACAGAAGAGGACAGTGAGTATATGGTACAGAGGAGGACAGTGAGTATACAGTACAGAGGAGGACAGTGAGTATACGGTACAGAGGAGGACAGTGAGTATACGGTACAGAGGAAGACAGTGAGTACACAGTACAGAACAGGACAGTGAGTATATGGTACAGAAGAGGACAGTGAGTATATGGTACAGAAGAGGACAGTGAGTATACGGTACAGAAGAGGACAGTGAGTATATGGTACAGAAGAGGACAGTGAGTATACGGTACAGAAGAGGACAGTGAGTATATGGTACAGAAGAGGACAGTGAGTATATGGTACAGAGGAGGACAGTGAGTATATGGTACAGAGGAGGACAGTGAGTATACAGTACAGAACAGGACAGTGAGTATATGGTACAGAGGAGTACATTGTATTGTGTGAAAATCATTTGACTTAAACTTAATTTTACAGGTTCCTCTTCCTCAGTGAGCCCATGATGTGTCTGAGATCGCTCCGTTTTTTGAAGGTCCTGGGCCTGTTTTCTGGTCAGTATCTCACACACACACACACACACATTCTATACACACTACACAGTATACTGTATACTGGAGCTGAAAGGTTCTATATTGGACTAAGAGAGTGTGACATCACCAAGAGCAATGAGGCTGGCGATGCTCACGGTTACAGGAGCGAATCTAGAGCCAGACTTTATGTTATGAATAGGATTATTTTGACTGACAAAATAGCAAAAAAAATAAAAAATTCAGGATCATGTAGAGCGAGTTAATACGAACATTTTAAAACCAAAATGACGAGGCTCAAGATCCCAATGTAATTCAAGTGGAGCCAGTGTCAGAAGGAGCTGGAAGAGCCTCCTGGCGCACTTCCTATTTGACACGTGGCAGCTAGCTCGTTAGCCTATGTCCACTCATATATACAGTCTATGTGCAACACCAAATGCTGCTATCTCTTAAATAATGGGGGGTATCCTTCCCAAGTGAACCACAGTGTCACACAGTGGGAGGGAGCGTATATGGCAGCTACAATCACTAAAAACAGTACATATTACTTTTACAACCCCATGCACAATCTTTACTGAAAAAAATTCAATGTATAATGTTTGGCTTTTCTCTGTCAGGGGTTGGGTCAACATTTCCACATCAATCTTATGACTTGATGTAATTTCAACTAACAACAATCACGCGTTTTCTTTTAAGATAAGAGAACCTTTGTTTGTCCTACAGTGGGGAAATTCCAATGTTGCAACACACAGTTCAAGAAGAGAACAGAATAGAAGTAGGCACTCAAAAATCAAGATATTTAAATATTAGAAAATTGAACTCTGAGCAAGAAGACTAAAAAAAAGATAAATAAATAAATAAACCAGGTCTAAACCAGATCTTTATCAGGATTAAACCCAGAATAAAACAGGTTTAACCAAGTCTAAACCAGCCCTAAACCAGGACTAAACTAGGTCTTAACCATCATATATGATCATATAATAATATAATAGCTGATAAAGTGACTTGAGTGAACTGCACCAGTGGTGATTCTCGTTATGTTACAGTGTTGGGTAATTCATTCATTTCCTTTCATGTTTATTTTTTATTTCAGCCACTCGGAGACATGCTAAAATGTTTGGCCGTGTCCTGAATCGTTTGTGGGATGTGCTCTTCTTCACGCTTCTGGTCCTGACTGTCTTCTCTGTCATTGGGATGAGCTGGTTCTCTGGCTCTATGTGGAACATCTGTGTGAGGCACTGGGAGCAGGATAACTCCAGTTTCCTGATAGAGCCCACAAACTTCCCAAACGTCACACAAGACGACCAGGTCGACTCTCAGTTCAACTACACGGAATACATCTACAACAGCGGTGAGATATAAACTCATGCTCCTTTAAGTTCTTAAAGGGCCCATATTACACTATTATCTCATCTATGTTATCACTTATCATTTATGCTGTCATTGTTTCCTCATAAAAAACATACCTGAACTTAAAACACTGTTACACCTTGTGATGTCATGTGGTAATACAGGAAGCGCTCCACTGTTTTGTTGCAGCTGATGTCATCAACATTCCCTGGGGGTGTGATGCTAACTGAAAGCACTGCTTTACCTGAGGCTTGTTAGACTTGAAGCTGATCTTTATTTTAACACAGTCTGACCAGAAAAAAACTGACTTAGAACTACAGGTGAAACAGTCACAAACTTTGAAAATCAAACACTTAAACAAGACCATGAACGCTCGGACTGATCACAGGCTCCTGAAAATGTGCTGTTTAAATCTATTTTGTATGGTTTCCTGAGATTTCAGACAGTCTTAAAACTTTTTGGACAGTGTGTGTCACCATGGTAAATGGTGAACATTCTGCCCTTATGTATACAGTGCCTTGTGAAAGTATTAGCCGACCTTTTGTATACGTAACGTATACGATATTTCAAAATTTACAAATAAAAAACTGAAAAGTAGGGGATCCAAAATTATTCCCTTTTCTCTCAGTGCAGCCAACTGACTCCTGACTGATGATGACAAATAGAGTCCACCTTTGTGTGATCAGTCTCAGTATAAATGCACCTGCATCATCACGGTCTCAGAGCTTCACAAGCTTTAAACATCTCGCAGAGCACTGTTCGATCAATCAACAAGGACTAAACCAGAAGTTTTCTGTCTGAAACAGGCCTAGGACTGAAACAAGACTAGACTAAGGCCACACCAGAGGATGAAACCTTAACAAAACCAGATTTAAACCAGGCCTAAACCAGGACTAAACCAGGACTAAACAGTATTTTTTGTACATGTATTTTTCCCACAGAGAACATTTACTTCACTGAGCATCATGATGAACCTCAAATCTGTGGAAACACTTCACTGGCCAGGTACAAATCCATCCATAGTAGTAGAAGTAGAAGTAGTAGTAGTAGTAGTAGTAGTAGTAGTAGTAGTAGTAGTAGTAGTAGTAGTAGTAGTAGTAGTAGTAGTAGTACAGAGATCACTACTACTACTACTACTACTACTACTATTGCTACTACTGCCTCAACTGCAACTGCTACTGGTATTACTGCTGCTACTACTAATGTAACTGCAACTACTACAACACTACCAATGCTGCTATTACTACAACATTACTACTGCTGCTATTAAGTTTACTGCTACTGCTACTACTGGTGTGTGCATTTTCTCACTGTGTTTCTGTGTTTATCCCTACTACGTAACTACTACTACTAATCAAACTACTACTACCTCAACTGCAACTACTATGACACTACTACTGCTATTACTACAACACTATTACTGCTACTGCCAATACTACTGCTACTGGTACTACTACTAATGCATCTACAACTGCTATGATACTACTACTGCTATTACTAAAACACTACTGCTGTTACTGGTACTAGTACTAATACAACTACAACTACTATGACACTACTACTGCTATTACTACGACACTACTACTGTTACTGGTACTACTACTATTACAACTGCAACTACTATGACACTTCTACTGCTACTACCAATACTATTGCTGTTAGTACTACTATTAAGGCTACTGCAACTACTATGAAACTACTACTGCTATGACTACAGCACTACTACTGCTACTACCAATACTACTGCTACTGGTACTACTACTAATGCTTCTACAACTACTATGACACTACTACTGCTCCTTCTACAACACTACTACTGTTACTGGTACTAGTACTAATACACCTACAACTACTATGACACTGCTACTGTTATTACTACAACACTACTACTGTTACTGGTACTACTAATACAACTGCAACTACTATGACACTACTACTGCTACTACCAATACTACTGCTGCTAGTACTACTAGTAATGCAACTGCAACTACTATGAAACTGCTATTACCACAACACTACTAATGTTACTGGTTCTACTACTAATGCAACTGCAACTACTATGACACTACTGCTACCAGTTCTACTGGTACTGGTACTGCTACTGCTGTCAGTACTACTACTAATGCAACTGCAACTACTATGAAACTACTACTGCTATAACTACAACACTAGTACTGCTATTAACAATACTACTGCTTCTGTTACTGCTGATGTGTGCATGTGGTCCCTGTGTGCCTGTGGCAGAGTGGTTAGCCTGTCTCCTGTCTTCAGACGTTCCAGATGAAAGAGCATTTGAATGACTTGAGTTTGGTTCGGTTTCAGCCAGTGTCCAGAGGGCTTCATCTGTCTCCAGGTCCACCGAGATCCAAACTTTAAAAACTTTGACTCTTTTGAAGAAGCGTTTTTATCCACGTTCAGACTCATGATGAGAGACTTCTGGGAGGCCCTGGCTGGAGAGGTCAGCATTTATCACCAGGACTGGGGCTGATACTACTACTTCTGTTACTACTAGAAATGCACCGACGCCAATACTGATATGGGGATACTGGCACCGACACTGAAGAATTAGCTGGATTGTATTGGTTCAGCAATATCCTGATTGGGCATTTAATGAGTCTATTTACCTGCTGATTTTGGCCTTGGACATCTGAACTTATATTCATACAAAGCTGTTCAGTAATTATTTGAAGGATAAGTAAGATTTACACAATATAATTGGATTTCTGTGTAATAAGTTAACAGTTTTAAGGAAATAAGTCTCATTTTGTGTTCCTACACTGGTATCAGTTTGTATCTGTTATTGGCAAATACTTAAAGTTATAGCATCAGTATCGGTATCACAACTGAAGAATCTGGATTGGTGCATCTCTTATTACTACCACTACTCTTACAGTGTAAAATCTAATAAGCAGACCTTACCTGAAAAAAACTAGGAAACCAATTGCCTTGAAAAATTCTGATTAAAATGGAGTGTGAATTTAAAGCTGAACTTAAAAGTAATTCCTCAGTGCAGTGAACAGTATACTCCTCTTTCACCTAACTAGTCACAGCAAGTGAAGTGAACTTCAGTTTTCATTCACAGAACTCATGTTGTGAAGCTGTGCCAACGAATCAGTTAGTTCCTCAAATCTGAAATATGTAGTAACCTTTACTTTAAGTGGAAGTTAACCTTAATTGGAAAAACAAAACAAAATGGAAACCGATTGCCTTGAATTGAGCAAATGTTACTTATATACACAAATTAGAATAAAAATAGGTTCTATTCTACAATATTTCAGGTAAACAAGGATTTGAATATTTATTAGTCTTTGAAAAACATATAGCAAAACTTTTGTTCAGCTTAAGTTCAAACACATTGTAAAATGTGTAACAATAAAATAATAAAGCTTGGTCATTCCATGTCAACTCAACCAAGACCCCTGCACTTAGGAAACAAAAAATGGTGGAAAAAACAAAACAGGTGAACAGGCGTAATCGAGCACAGACTGAAAGAACAGAGGGAGGATATAGAGCCTGAATGAACAGAGGGAGGATATAGAGACTCAAAGAACAGAGGGAGGATATAGAGACTGAATGAACAGAGGGAGGATATAGAGACTATAGAGACAAAGAGGGAGGATATAGAGCAGAACAGAGGAGGATATAGAGACAAAGAACAGAGGAGGATATAGAGACTGAATGAACAGAGGGAGGATATAGAGACTCAAAGAACAGAGGGAGGATATAGAGCCTGAATGAACAGAGGGAGGATATAGAGACTGAAAGAACAGAGGGAGGATATAGAGACTGAATGAACAGAGGAGGATATAGAGACTCAAAGAACAGAGGGAGGATATAGAGCCTGAATGAACAGAGGGAGGATATAGAGACTCAAAGAACAGAGGGAGGATATAGAGACTGAATGAACAGAGGGAGGATATAGAGACTCAAAGAACAGAGGGAGGATATAGAGACTGAATGAACAGAGGGAGGATATAGAGACTCAAAGAACAGAGGGAGGATATAGAGACTGAATGAACGGAGGGAGGATATAGAGACTGAATGAACGGAGGGAGGATACAGAGACTGAATGAACAGAGGGAGGATACAGAGACTGAATGAACAGAGGGAGGATATAGAGACTGAATGAACAGAGGGAGGATATAGAGCCTGAATGAACAGAGGGAGGATATAGAGACGTCCTGGGAGGATCAGGGACTGAGTGGCAGGTGTGGGAAAAACAGAGAGGTAGCAAAAGGAGGAGCGGAACAAACTGGGAAATGGAGCTGGACACTTGGCAGTAACACATTACTGTTGAAGTTAATCATCTCATTCAAGTTGAGCTTAGTCTAACTGACCAGTAATGTGCTTTTTTCCACCCTGAAAGTAACTGTTACTTTACCACAATCATTAAGATCCACTAATTCGTAGCTGTGAGTAAAGTAAACGAGCTGAATGCAATGCAAGTTGACAGTGTATAAAACATAATATTTTATGGCTACCAGTTGTGGCTCTAATGCACATTGTTGTTGCGTCCTGAGACCAGGCACTTAATCCAATTTGCCCAGTATGAAATTAGTTTGTGTGTGAGTGATAGAGGTGGCCGTTGGAGCCGATAGAGCAGATTGGCAGTCTCGCTCCCGTCAGTCTGTCCCAGGGCAGCTGTGAGTAAAAACCAGAAATAAACTAAAATGTTTTACAGTATCAACCAAGGCTATGCTATGTCTGAACCCGGGATCAAACTGGGACTAAGCCAGGAATAATTTAGGTCTAAACCATTTCTAAACCAAAATAAACCAGGTCTTAACCAGGACTAAACCAAGACTTAACCAGAACTAAACCAGGAATACACCAGCTCTTCACTAGCTCTAAACTAAAATAAAACAGAACTTAACCAAAACTAAACGAGGTACAAATCAGAACTAAACCAGATCTAAACCAGGTCTTAACCAGGACTTAACTAGGAATACACCAGGACTAAACCAGGACTTAACCAGGTCTAAACCAGGAATACACCAGATCTAAACCAGGTCTTAACCAGGTCTAAACCAGGTCTAAATCAAGTTTAAACCAAAATAAACCAGGACTTAACCAGAACTAAACCAGGTCTAAACCAGGAATACACCAGATCTAAACCAGGTCTAAATCAGGTCTTAACCAGGACTACACCAGGACTTAACCAGGACTTAACCAGGTCTAAACCAGGACTAAACCAGGTCCAAACCAGGTCTGTGTGTTTAGGTGATGCAGGCAAACGGAACACCGATGATGATCTTCTTCGTGGTGACGTTGTTCATCTGCTCTTTTTCACTCTCGGCTTTCATCATCGCCTCCTTCTTCATCTCCTTCACTGAGCAAACGGAGAAAGAGCTCCGCCAGGCTCAACAAGACCAGAGGGACTACAACCAGATCCTGGCTGCTCTCAAGGACAAGGTGGGGACTAAACCAGGACTAAACTAGATCTAAAGTAGGACTAAACCAGGACTAAACTAGGACTAAAGAAGATCAGAGTGACTACATCCAGATCCTGGCCACTCTCAAGGAAAAGGTGGGGACTAAATCAGGACTGAACCAGGACTTAACCAGGTCTAAACCAGGAATACACCAGATCTAAATCAGGACTAAAGCAGGACTAAGATTAAACCAGGACTACAACCAGGTCCTGGCTGCTCTCAAGGTCAAGGTGAGGGAATAAACCAGGACTTAACCACGATTAAACCAAGACTAAAGAAGACTAAACCAAGACAAACCAGAACTAAACCAGGACTAAACCAAGACTAAAAGAAGATTAAACCAAGACAAAACCAGAACTAAACCAGGACTTAACCAGGACTACAATGATTCTTAAACCGCTGTGTTTTTGTCTTGCAGGGTGTGGATGATCTCCCAGAGAAAAAGGGTGAGTTTGAGTCCCCCTACTGGATACTTTTAGAAAATATTTGGAAAATATTTCGTAGCGCTAAAAGTTCTGGTGACAGTAACAGTAGTAATGACAACTTTAGAACAAGACTAAAACCGGCCCAAACTACATTAAAAAACAGGTCTGAATCTGGATCAAACCAGGATTAAACAACCAAGTCTAAACCAGGTCTTAACTGGGGCTAAACCAGGACTAAATCGGGTTTTAGTGAGGACTAAACCTGATCTTAACCAGGTCTAAACTAGATCTAAACCAGGACTGAACCAAGTCTAAGTAATAATGATGAACTTTCCTCTAATGAAACTACAGCACATCTCATCAGGTTTGTGAAGTTGTAGTGCATTGTTTGTATCATGCCAGAGGAAGATTGTTAAACTACTCAAACATGTATGGATGACAACTAAAAGCTCTGCAGGCATGTTTTTGATGAGAGAACAGCGGTATAACATGGAAGACAGCTCCAAAAAGTCTATACCCCCTCTTTAAGATTTTGAATTATTAGCTGTCTGACTTTTACACGTTTATTTCCTGTTAAGATGAAACCTGAAACTCCCACACTGCAGTACTGTTTGTAGTATTACGCTGATGCCGGGTTTACATTGACTGCTAGGCCAGTCCGTATGTACTTACAGTGAGTCACTTACAGTTCGCCTGTTACACCAACTATGACATCTGGAGCATGTATTTGGCCAAAGCAGTGATAATGACCAAAGCAATGATAATGACCAAAGCAGTGATAATGACCTGAAAACCCCTCCAGACCACACTTGGAGTCAGTGCAGACCTGGTGTAAGCCTCTTGATTATATTCATTTATTATTTTATTATCCTTGATTATATTACGCATAAGCCTGCTTTTTAACTGCCTATGGACAACCTTATCTTGGTATTTCATATTGTAAATACAAAACTGTACAAGATACACTACCCCTTGCACAGAGAAATGTTGAAACATCTTTTAGGGTAATTTTTGTCCAATCTCGGTCCACTGAAGATGCAGCCTGTGATGCCAAATGATGTTTTTTCCAACGTCTTCCAAAGTCCAGTATTGACGTTCCCTGGACCTCCGGTTGAGGACTAATTCTAGTCCAAATGAGGTTGCTGTGGAAGTTTTTTCTATAATAATAATAATGATGCATAATTTTTTTTCAGTTCAGTTCTTTTCTGGACACTCAAACACTTTACAGATCATTATTCCTTCACTCCACACTAAGTGGTGGTAAGTTACTATTTTAGCCACAGCTGCCCTGGGACAGACTTACAGAAGTGTGCCATCGGCCCCTCCCACCACCAGCACTCATGCACACACCACTTTCATACTAGATAATGTGGGTGAAGTGTCTGGTCTAAGGAAACAACAACAAGTTTTTGCTCTGGTGACCCCCTGTGGCACCTGATTTTCCCAGTGATCTCCCATCCAAGTCCTAACCAGGCCCGGCCCTGCTCAGCTTCTGACACCTGAAGGGATCAGGCTTTGACAAGCCGATATCGCCATGTTACATTTAAACTCTTTTTAGAGCATTTTTATCAGCCGACTAGTCTGTGCAGAACCGTGATGCTGTTTCAGACAGTGGCAGAATGTTCCAGATTATTTAGTCTCAGCAGCAAGAAACTGGAAACACAAAGTTGTAAAGCATTTCCAGTTCAATCTGAGCCACACAGAGCTCCAGGAAAATGGCAGGATACAGTTCACAGGTTCTATGCCTTCAAACTCCAAACATCAGACTTAAAACTTTTCCCCGACTAACACGCAGAATTTCCATGACCATTAATAATGACATTTTCCTGCACCCGTGTTAGATGTTCCCATGACGTCCAAAAAAGTCAACTAGTCCAAAGTTCAAATGTTTAACTGCAGATTCGCATGTCATTTTTCAGTCCAAAATTGGTCTTGGACCAACCGACACAACATATAAATGATCTGCACATCCATAAGACGTCTAATGTTTAGTGGGCACCAGTCAAATGTTTGGACACTTTCTCATTCAATGTTTTTTATGTGTTCTTCATACTTTTATATACACAAAAAAACATCAAATACGAAGTAAAATGCACATATCTTTGCTACATAATTATATATTTGATGTCTTTTGGGTGTATACAAAAGTATTAAACATTCAATAAAAAAAAACATTCAATGAGAGAGTGTGTCTCTTTCGACTGGTTGTGTATGCATGGAAAAACACACGCACAGACGAACAAGGTAGATTTAGATGCCGTCTTTCTAACTCAAAGGTTGTAGGTTTTATTCTCACAAATGACACTGCAAACTGCCATTGAGCAAGACACTTGGTAGGCAAGTCTGTTGCGTAGACAGGCTACAAGCAAGGTATGGGTTTGATGAAGAAAACACCAAACAGTGCTGTTAAAAGCTTACAAAATCTGTTAAGGACATTAAAGTAACAATGGTCCAAACACTCCCAGGCAGCTCAGATCCAGAGTTTTACGGCGTTCATCCATTATTTTTGGGTTACATAAGTCTGAAAGCTTAAACTCCCAAAGCGTCTTAACAGGAGACATCTGGTCAACCCACATTTCACCTCTGGAACAATCTGTATTTCACAAGATTCCAGGAAACACAAGCCAATGTGTGTAGTACTTCTCAAGAGTCGCTGCTGAAGGGACAAGAATTATGTTGATAAAACTTTGATTGCAACATTCCCTTTAGGTCTCAGTTTGATTTTAAACTTTGCCAGATGCCCTCCCACACACACACAAACACACACTTTTGTTGTCTTTTAATCTATTTCAGGGATGTCACATTGGATTAATTTCCTGGAGACTAACTTTAACCAAACCAGGTCTAAACCAGGACTAAACCAGGACTAAAATCAGGACTAAAACCAGGCCTAAACCAGGTCTAAATCAGGTACAAACCAGGATTAAACTAGTACTAAAATCAGGACTAAACCAAAACTAAAACCGGGAGTAAACCAGGGCTAAGCTCAGAACTAAAACCAGGTGTAACCAGATCTAAACCAGGACTAAACCAGGATTAAACTAAGTCTAAACCAGGGCTAAACCAGGTCTAAGCCAGGGCTAAACCAGCACTAAACCAGGACTAAAATTAGGACTAAAACCAGGTCTAAACCAGAATTAAACCAGGACTAAAATTAGGACTAAAACCAGCTCTAAACCAGAACTAAACCAGGATTAAACCAGAACTAAACCAGGTCTAAAATCAGGAGTAAACCAGAACTAAACCAGGTCTAAACCAGGACTAAACCAAGTCTAAACCAGGTCTAAAACCAGGTCTAAACCAGGACTAAACCAGGATTAAACCAGGACTAAACCATGACTAAACCAGGCCTAAAATCAGGACTAAAGCCAGGTCTAAACCAGGTCTAAAGGCGCTTTCACTTTGAAAACCCGTGGAACATAACATTTGGAAATTTGGAGATGTAGACAGACTAATAAAAAGTTACTGTGTGAATGAAACAAAACACATGTGTGAATGAAATAAAACACAACTCCAGGTCTGTTTTTGCTAAATTAACTAAACTATATCATGATTTAAAGGTACACTATGTAACTTTTCTGGTAGAAGTCCTGCCAGTTACTTGTTTCTATGAACATGTTATTGCTTTACCTCTAAAGTATGGCATTAAAGTTTACAATCTCCATAGAAACAGGAGATACCATCAGGACAATGTAAAGGTGAGGTCTGTGAAGAGGCGAGTCCACCCACAGTCAGAATGCAGGTTTTTAAAGGGATTTTTGAGCAATATAATACATCCATAATTGAATAAATGCATCTTATATAAGTTTAATACCATATTGTGGAACATTACAGGCTAAGCAATAGTGTAATGTAGGACTTTTAAACAATTTGGACTCATATCTGAACTTGAAAAAGGTGTTGTTGTTTTAATAATAAAGGATTTGCGTCATGGAGACTGGATGTTTGGCTCGTCCCTGTGAATTGTGGATGCACATTTCATTCCCCACATGTTACAAATGTGAGAATAAAAACCCGCCCACACTGACCACACCATTGGCACACAGTGAAATTCGAATGGTTACAACAGCTGCAAAAAATGATCTTGTCTCTCTATGGGGTCATCTTATGTTGAAATCCACTCACCCTGTAGTCTACCCCTCCTCAAACATGTACTGAAACGCATGGAAAAGAGAGAGAGAAAAAAAACCACTACACACAGCATGGCTACACTTTTACCAAAAATATCACTTTTTTTTGTTTTGAAGGTTCAGGGAGTATTACAGTTTTTTTCAATCGCTTTAGCATCTTTCTCTACTGAAAACTGACATTTGCAAAACAGCTCACTCAAGATCTTAAACACAATTTTAGTTTTCCGAAAAAAAAATGTATCTCAGCAAAATGCAACATCAGTCATTTCCCTAAAGCAAATTTCACCATCCAAACTCTTAAACCAAACTCTTAGACTGTGCTCAAGTGTTTTCTGTGCTCAGTCATGTGCCAGAGCAGCTCAGAGCCTCAGTCCTGCTCTCAGGGGCCACACAAAAGCATTGATTTATGCAGTCTGCCATTGGGGGTCACACTGGAAAAGATTTATTTGTTTTGTTTTAGATTTTTTTTTGTTTAAAACCTGTGTACACATTACCAATTGGAAAGTAGATTTTGCAGTGTTTGAACCAAATTTTTTTATGGTGAAAACAATTGAAAGATGCTGGAAAGTAAATACCTCTATTTTAACTATAACTATTTTAGTACTGCAATATGTGATTTTCGAAAAATCACACATGTCACAGTGTGTATCTGTATGTCGTGTGTACAGTCTGTGCTGAGACTCATTCGTGAAATCCTTTGCTGTTAGATTTTAGGTGCTCACAAATTGTAGATTTTTACTGTTCTGTTTCTATATTGAAAGTGACAGAGTTTAGGCCAAAGTCCAATACCCCATAAAAACAAGGTGAATTCGCTGATCATGAGTGTTTGTGAATGAGATCTGTGTCAAGGGTTTTGAAGCCTGAGAACTGTGTGAGCTGATGAGATGTTCCAATTGATTTGACCTGTGTCCCTGTTTAGATAACCATTTAAATCAAAAGATCAAACTAAAACAAGTTTCAAAAAGTGTACTAAAACATAAAGTAAAAAAGGAGATGATTCAATTTAAAAAGGGGAAAACCCTTTATGCTGCAATGGTCTGATAAGATAAGTGATCTTTCTCCACTTCTGTGGATAGTTTTACAGTCCTTTAACATTTGTCCTATACTTAAACCACAACTAATGCATCTACAGTTCTTTTCAGTGGTTTTAGCAGTTTTTAAAACTTGGTTTAGTTTGATCATTCAATTCAAACCTGTATCTGAACAAGGCTCAGATCAAATCTGTTGCAGTTGCCATGTGTTCACACAGTTCTCAGGTTCTTTCTCAGAACCCTGACACAGCTCTCATTTACAAACATGATCAAAACTACAGATCTGTTCTCATGTGGTATTGGACTTTGGTCCAGAATATAGAAACTGATAACAGCAAAAAATGCAATTTGTGGGCACCTAAAATCAAACAGCAAATGATTTCACACATGACTTAAACAGGGAGAAGAGTCTCAGCATAGTACAGACTGTAAAGATGACATATAGATACACACTGTGACATGTGTAATAATGTGACATGTTATATATTACTAATGTAGTGTTGATGTATCTGCATCATTACATTTTCTTCAACATAAATATTTTGGATCAAATACTGCAAAATCTACTTGTAAAAGTGAACCCCAGTGTGAGACTGCATAAACCAGTGCTTCTGTGTGGCCCCTGAGAGCAGGACTGAGGCTCTGAGCTGCTCTGTCACATGACTGAAACAGCACAGAAAACATGAGCACAGGCTGACACGCTTTAGATGAATTTGCTTTTGGAGATGATTGAGTTTTTAATGTGAAACTGTATTTTGCTGAGATTAAATTTTGTTTAGGAAAACTGAAATGCTGTTGAGGATTAGTTGTTTTGCAAATGTCAATTTTCAATAGATAAATGTGCCAAAAAGATAAATAAAAAAACTGTAAGCACACATGCATCCTCTGTTGGATTGCCAAAAGTATATTTTTCTCCCTCATACTGATAAAGATTTTCATTTAGATTTTGTTTTATCTTATTAAAAGCAAACACAATGACTCTATTATTTCAATTATTTTAATTTCCCCAGCATAAACAATTTACATTTGTCATTATGTATATTTAACAAGTCTAAACTCTGCTCTGATCCCCATGCTTTTGTTGACAGAGGACTGGCTGCAACTCTCTCCATTCAAAAGACCCATGCTGATCATTAACCACTGAAATGGACTAGTCTTGATTTCAGTTAAAATTTAAAATTAATTCCACAGCTCTACAATAAACTCATGTACCATTTCTGCCTAAATGTTTGCTAAAAGATGTTTACGCAACAGAAAACAGATCCAAGAATCTAAAGAGAAAAGTAAACAATAGAAAAGTACATCTCGGTCAAATTTATTTCATATAAAACAAAAATATATAACCATGGAAGCACACTGGGGAACTTTATATCAGCCCGAAGTTACAGGTCAAATCTGTGGAGAGCAAGCCTGCTCATAGTGAGAACATAAAAAGAGCAATAAAAACATCTGGAACTGAATGCAAATAGATAACTTCAATGCCAAACTGTGGAACATTCGAGGCAAAGCAATGACATCTCCATGGTAATAAGCAGGCGTCAGACCCTCAACACAAAAGTTACATGGTGCACCTTTAGTCTGTAATGTCTTTAAAGATTAATCCAGATTTCTCATCACAGTACAATATAGTGTATGCATTGTAAAGTGGGTGCTAACAGTATTGTAGCATATTTGCATATTTTTCTGCTACAAAATGGTAAAGTCAAGAGGGTGCATTGGTTCCTATCTTATTTTTTTAATCTTACATCTGCATAGGTACTTACACAAGCGAAGAGTTAGTATAATAAGTAATATTTGTATTCCTAAAACATTTCTAATCAATTTTGTTCTACTACTAAGAAGAAACTGTAATCTTTGGACAGCACAATTAGAGACAGTCAATGCATTTGAACTATTCATGAAGACAGGGCAGATCTGTGGAGAGGAGACTAGAGACTTCACTCACAATAAGAATGCATGTTTTTCCACAGTATTTTTGAGCAATAAAAACACCTGAAATTGAATGAATACAAAATATGTGTTAAATGCCATATTGATGGATGTGAAGTTATGATGATTTATTTTAACTGTCCTCATATGTGTTAAATATTATTGGCCAGAATGTTGTGATGTCAGCTGAAACCCAGCAATTGTGGAACATTCCAGTAAAAGCAGCACTATATCTACCTGAAAAATTCCATAGTGCACCTTCAAACACTCTAAACAGTCTTATCTGAGTTCAGGGAAGTATACCGTGTTTTTCTCCCACACAATCAGGACTCCGACGAGCAGAGGCTGAGTGAAGCTGGTGTGGACTCTGTGGAGCAGGGTCATGTCTTCAGCCTCCACACTGTAAAAAGACAGACCTTTGCTTTGGTCCAGATAGACCCCAATTCTGGACCCAACTGGTCCTGGTACCTCAGACTGGACCCCACCCGACAGGAAGGAGAGCTTGTCTTTCATTCGCTGCAAAGCCCAGGAAACATGATTGGTACCAAGTCCACACTGGTCAGAGTAGCCTTTCCTGTGTATGTCCCTGTACGACAGAGCGATTCGGACCATGTCTCGAACGCTCCACTCCACCTCAAAGTAACAGCGACCTGTCAGCTCCTCTCGACTAAGGACCTGGCTCCACACACTGAAGCGTTCGCTGTGCTCTGGATACTTCTGAGCTTCACTCGTGTGTGTTACTTTTCTGTTCCCATCTGACAGAAGCAGATGTGGGAACACTGTGTTTGGGTCCAGGGTGATTTCTCGAGCGTATTTTAAGAAGTCGTTTCTGCAGCGTGGCTCAGCCAGTGGCTCTTGGGACACTGGGACATTACACTCACTCAGAGTCTGCTGCAGTTTGTCCCTGAGCACAGTCACAGCTCTGGTCACAAACTCAAAGTCTTCTTTTGGCCTGGTTTGGAATCTGGACTCTGAGCTCTGTGTGTCTGTGGTCAGCAGGGGGCAGGACAGCATAGCCTGGTTGTGATCTGGCTTATGGTACAGTTCTTCCAGCTCAGAGAGGCTCCTCTTCAGCTCTGTGACCTCCTGCTGTAGTTGGTCCTGGAGCTCTTGAACTCGGCGCAGTTGGGTTTTTTCCTCAGACAGAATCTGCCGCTCCACTTCAGAGCGTCTGTTCTCCAGGAGAAGGGTCATCTCTGTGAACATGTCCCTGCTGTGCTGCACTACTCTCCGTGCAGAGCGGCTGATATCCTGGGCCTCCCATTGGAGGGTCTCCAGTTCTGTCTCTTTGAGCTGGAGGTTCTGGAGGAGCAGTGCCCTCTGGCTCTGCAGCTCAGCCCTCCTCTCTTCAGCTCTGTCAACAGGGTGCGCTGTCCTCTGCAGCTGCTGCACTAAAGTGGATAGCATGATGTTTTTGCCCAGGACCGGCCTCTGGCTGTAGTGTCTGCGACACTCAGGGCAGCTGTAGGTCACCTGTTGGTCCCAGTGGTTCTGGAGGCAGAGCATGCAGTAACTGTGTCCACACGGGATGGTGACAGGGTCCCTCAGGAGTTCCAGACAGATGGGACAGGACAGGGCCTCTGCCATTTCACCTTCATGAGAAACAACCACAAAGTTACTTTGTGTACTTTACTTCAATGTACAATTTAAGGCTCAATTAGTGACGCACAGTTGCGTTAAAACACATGTGGTAGACTATAACAACAATTAATAAAATGTTATCTACATGTTTTTAACATTCAACAAGCCAAAGTTGTAGTAAATATCTTAACGACATAAGCTGTGACTTGTTTGTTTGCAACATGCCAAATTCCTCACATCAACTAAATAAGAAGCTAGCTTTGTTTAATTTGCGCGTTTGCCTGTTGTTTCTGCGTTGCTTTTACCATAGTCTGTCTATATGTAAATTCTTCTTGACACTTACACACGTTAGCATAAATATTAGCACAAGCCGTACAGTCTATGGCACAAACTAACATTATCTGGATTGCGTTTAATGTTTTGGAGTGTGCGTCAGCTGCGTCGTGACGTCTTGCAGCTCTTCTCAAAGTGTCAGGGCAAATGAATGACACATGCTAAATTCACTTACCAACTTGGCTGGTTAGCGCTTAGCCACAGAAACTGAGGAGTGGAGAGCAGAGAGGCGGGGAGGGGCTGAGGGCGTGAATAGTACCCGGAATAGTCCAATCACAAGCGGTCAAAGGCTTCAGGGAGAACCGCTAACAAAACAACGTGGTTTTAGTTCGACAAAATTATTGGTAGGTAAGGGTTGGCAGGAATGTTTTCTAGCTGTTTTGTTTTTTGTTTTTATATATTTCTTTTCTCAAACTGCAAATGTGTTAAAATAGTTCCTCAGTCTTTTTTTTTTTTTAGCAAGTTTCAGTAATAATAATAAAAAAAAAAAAATACTTTTACTCTTCAGTACAGTTCAAAAATGTAGTGGAGTAGAAAGTCCAGATACATGCTCTCAAATGTAAGTAAGTATCCACTTAAGTAAAGTTCAAAATAAATACCAACATTTTTTATTTAAAGGTGCATTGTGTAACTTTTCTGCTGTAGGGTCCGTCACCTGCTTGTTTCTATGGAACTGCTCTGCCTGAAATGCTCCAGTAGATCAGATAGATACTTTATTTACAGTGTGACTTTAAACAGCTCTACTTTATGTTTATTCAATTACAGGTGGTTTTATAGCTTCAAAATACCTAGAGAACAGTCATTCTGACTGTGAGTGGGGTCGCCTCTCCACAGATCTGACCAGAGCAATGACATAACCATAGAAACAAGCAGGTGATGGACCCCACAACCAAAAAGTTACACAATACACCTTTAAGTAGATTTATTCATGTGATACTTTTACTTTTACTTGAGTATTTGTTTGCTCTAGTATATACAAAATTGAGTACTTCGTACGAAAGCTCAAAAAAGTTGATTTTGAATAATACCCTTTTATACTCTTTAATAGGGATGTAACAATATCCAAATTTGTCTGTACAATATTTTCACGATATGCATCTCATGGTACGATATTTATTACGATATTTTGTAAAGGGTAACAAAATTGTGAATATACAAATTTTTCCTTTAAAAATGCCTTGACAAGCCAAGATTTACAAGTGTTTAATACAGTTATTTCATTGTGTAAATTTGGCTGAAACAGAGCAAAGGGTCATGGTCTTTGAAGGGTCTGTGTATATTTGTTCTTTTGAATTTCAGTTAAGAATGAAAAACAATAAAATGGGAAAACAGTTTGTTATTTCATTATTCCGCTTTAGTGTCAAAAAAAAAAAAAAAAAAAAAAAAAAAAAAATGAATTCGACCTCTATTTCCAATATTTAATTTAAAGTTTATTTCAAATAACACTAATCATAAAACAGTCTCAGTGCTTATTTTAATTGAGATATTTTATTCTCTCTGGTTTATTTGCCCCAGAAGTTCTGCTACTTAGTGCACTGCATGTAAATTCAATGTCAGCCATGGATCTATAATAAAAAAAATATTTTTATTGTAGTTCTTTGGCATCAACTGAACAAAGGAGAGTTTATCACTACTTCATGTTTCTCGTCATGGAGTTCAACAATGACTTTCTAAGACGTGAAAATAAGCGCGACTCTATAAAAGAAGACAACATGTTTGTTCACAAAATTGCAACGATTTTTCAGGTGAGTCCTTCTAGCAGCAGAACTGCTGAGGCAAATAAACCAGAGAGAATAAAATATTAAAATTAAACTTAGACTTGGACGAACTTTATTGATCCACAAGGGAAATTTATTTGGACACAGGAGCTCACTTCACAATATAATATAATAACAAAGATTGAAAATATAAATGGTAATAATAAATTCTAAATAAGAAGCACAAAAGAGCAAGAGACAGGAATCAAATAAGGCATAATTATATAAATTCAAATGTACAAGTCAAAATAAAATTGAAAGATAAATGTAGGAGCCATTTTGACCTTTTATTTGTTGCTTGCCTGTGGTTTTGTCCTCCATCCACTGTGTGGCAGTATGGTGCCCTCCTTAACTATATTTAAACTATATTTAAGGGCAAGAAGGCAGCCACAGGTGCTGCTGATTGGGGGTAAAGCTTTTTTTGACCCCATTGTTTGCATTGTGGAATATGTGGATGGCATTCGTAAGCCAATGAAGGACTAAGAATGTATCTGTGGATTTATATTACAAGCGTGTCAGAACAACTTTAAATCAGTAGCCAGGTGCCCAGTGGGATAGGGCCATTGGCTGCTACAATAAGAAATAAAATGTAAAATCACAGCTTTATACAAGAGGTCATAGGAAGACAGTGCAACAATGATGTGATGACTTAGGGTTATCTGTTACCTAAGGATGAGTTGTTGCAGGGAGTATTATAGTATGAATGTAGGCCTGTGTCTCTCACTGTTTGAGTGGAGATGTGGGAGCTCCTTGTTGTACAGTTGTTAGGAGTATTATCTGTCCCTCTATAGTCTGGTGCAGTGGGTAAGTTGTTGTACGGTTGTAGGGAGTATTATCTGTCCCTCTATAGTCTGGTGCAGTGGGTAAGTTGTTGTACAGTTGTAGGGAGTATTATCTGTCCCTCTATAGTCTGGTGCAGTGGGTAAGTTGTTGTACAGTTGTAGGGAGTATTATCTGTCCCTCTGTAGTCTGGTGCAGCGAGTGAGTTGTTGTACAGTTGTAGGGAGTATTATCTGTCCCTCTGTAGTCTGGTGCAGCGAGTGAGTTGTACAGTTGTAGGGAGTATTATCTGTCCCTCTGTAGTCTGGTGCAGCGGGTGAGTTGTTGTACAGTTGTAGGGAGTATTATCTGTCCCTCTGTAGTCTGGTGCAGCGGGTGAGTTGTTGTACAGTTGTAGGGAGTATTATCTGTCCCTCTGTAGTCTGGTGCAGCGGGTGAGTTGTTGTGCAGTTGTAGGGAGTATTATCTGTCCCTCTGTAGTCTGGTGCTGTGGGTGAGTTTTTGTGCAGTTGTAGGGAGTATTATCTGTCCCTCTGTAGTCTACTGTTTTTTTGTTTGACACTAAAATGGAATAATGAAATAACAAACCATTTTCCCATTTTATTGTTTTTCGTTCTTAAATGTAATTCAAAAGAACGAATGGTAACTGGACCATGTAGTTTCCTTTTAGCTATTGCTGCACCATAACATTGAATTTAAGCAAAAGAACTTGAGATTTGATATTTCATGATGGCCCACAACATTATTATGAGATTTTTGATGAATCTTTGATTATTGTTACATCCCTTCTCTGGAATTCCTCTTTAATTTTTCTCCTTTTGTATGCTTGCAGACTCCGAGCGGACCTGTTCTGAGTGTTGGCGACGCCTGTGTAGCTGTGACTGTTGTGGGTGTTGGGTTCGGGTTAAAAAGGGACTCCAAGTTTTTGTCTTGGACCCGTTCTTTGACCTGGCCATTATCCTCCTCATCATCATCAATGTGATTTTCATGGCCATGGAGCACTACCCTCTCACCGTTGAGTTTGAGGAAATGCTCTTCAGGGCTGAGTGGGTGAGTACAGTACAAACACTTGGATTTATTTGACTGAGCCAGCAGCGAACATTTTTTCTCATTTATTGGAAATCTGTAAAGCTATCGGAACTGTTTATTGATCCCACATTCCCTGGGGGTGTGATGCTAACTGCAGGTTCTTCTCTGTCTGAAGCTTTATTAGACTTTAATCTGTGCTTTATTTTAACACATCTGACCAGAAAGAGCTGATTTGTGTTGTTCAGTTAGTCCCTCTCACCTTTTTGTTTAAAATCAAACTCCTAAACAGGACCATGAACCCTTGATGAACTATTGATCACAGGCTCCTGAAAATGTGCTGTTTAAATCCTTTTTGTATATGTTTTCAGACCATTTTTGACAGTGTTTGCTAATGTGTGCATTGTGTCACCATGGTAACTCCTAAATGTTCCACCCATAGACTGTATATATAAATGGACATAGGTAATGCGTGATGATGCTGGCACTTCCTACTCCTTCTGACCCTGGCTCCTATAGAGAACCTGCAGTCACGGGACCGTTTTTTTTTTTCTTGCTATAAAGCCTGCAGTGTTTTGAGGGCTGTCACAATTGACACAAAAGTGTGTGGCATTCAATTGGGTATGCATGCCATTGTTTCTGTGAACTGTATGTATGTGACATAAACAAATAGGCAACATGAGCAGATCTGATCAGAGTTTTGTGTCTTAAGCATGCAGTGTAGACGGAAACGCTACGATGGAGCATATTAAACTTTCCCACTCTGGAGGGTGGTTTCAGATTTTTGCGTCACCGTCTAAACAAAAGGCACTTACGATAAAATATTTTGTCGATTTTACCCGCAGGCGTTCTTGTGTAAACAGGCCCTTTATGTCTTTGCTGATTACAGCTCTGTGTGCAACACTTTTCCGGCATGTGTCGTAATGTGAAAATTACAGAAACGACTCAAAAATGTGCTAACTTTACAATGGCGGTCTGCTGGCGGTCTGGCTCGCCGAAAGTGGAACAGGGCAAGGCTGTGACGTCACATGCAATTTCTCTATTGACTTACATTGGAATATTGTGGCCCCTCTCACTGTCACTGCTGCTGTGAGCCTCGTCATATTGGTCTTAAAATGTTCGAATTAACCCGCTCTACGTGATCCTGGGTTTTTTATTTCACTATTTTGTGTGTTTCAAAAATTCTATTACTAATATGGAGACTGGCTATAAATTCGCTCCTGTAACCTTTCAGCATCACAAGCTTCATATGAGTGGAGCTGAATGCTGTGACATCACACTTGCTTAGTCCACTTTTTTATGCAGTCTAAGGTCCCACCATTAGAGACACGTGTAGAACACGTGTTGTCCTGTTTTTTTGTTTTGTTTTTTTGGATAAAGCATGTTACCCCCTTTCCTAAGACAAATTTCTCCCATGGGAGACAATAAAGGATTATCTTATCTTATCTTAGAACACCCCCAGCGTGATGTCTCTGCAAACTATCAAAGGCAGACTACTAATGTTTTATTTGAAGACGTCCTCTCGCTTGCCTCTCTTTTCACCTCTCTCTCCACATCTGTATCTCTCTTTGTCTCTCTCTCTCTCTCTCAACTCTCTTGGTCTCTGTCTGTCTCTCTCTCTCTCCTTCTCTGTCACACACTCTCTCTCTGTCACACTCTCTCTTGGTCTCTCTCTCTCTCTCTCTCTCTCTCTCTCTTGGTCTCTCTCTCTCTCCCTCTCTCTCTCTCTCTCCTTCTCTGTCACACACTCTCTCGGTCTCTCTCTGTCACACTCTCTCTCTCTCTCTCTCTCTCTCTCTCTCTCTCTCTCTCTCTCTCTCTCTCTCTCTCTCTCTCTCTCTCTCTCTCTCTCTCTCTCTCTCTCTTCTTCTCTGTCACACACTCTCTCCCTTGGTCTCTCTGTCACACTGTCTTGGTCTATCGCTGTCTCTCTCTCTCTGTCTCTCTCTGTCACACACTCTCTTTCTCTTATTTTTTGGTCTCTCTTTGTCACACTCTCCCTCTCTCTGTCTCTCTTTCTCTGTCGCTCAGGCTCTCTTGGTCTCTCTTTGTCACTCGCTCTCTATCTCGGTCTCTATCTGTCACACTCTCTCTTGGTCTCTCTCTGTCCCCCTCTCTCTCTCTCCCTCTCACTCCTCTATCTCTTGGTATCACTTTGTCACACTCTCTCTCTGTCTCTTTCTCTCTATCTCTTGGTTTTTCTCTCTCTCTCTTGGTCTCTCTCCCATCTTTTTCTTTCTTCTTTTCACATTTCACATTTTGATCTTTTTCAGGTGTTCACCTTCATCTTCTTTATAGAGGTTGTCCTGAAGATTTTGGCCATGGGTTCTTATGACTTCTTTCAGGTCAGACTATTAAACACTGTCTTTGTAAAATGAAATATACTACTGATGTAAAATAACAATCTTTTGAATTGATAACACATTTGAATGCTTCCATAGTCTTCAGACAGCACTATAGAAATATTAGCCTGCAAGCAGTGGTGGAATGTAGCAAGGTAAAAGTACTGTACTTAAGTCAAAAATTAAGGTATAGACTTAGACCGACTTTATTGATCCACAAGGAAAATTACTTGGCCACAGTAGCTCACACATCACATTATATTACAGTAACACAGAGTAAAAAAGTATAAAACATGGTAATGAACTTATAAATAAGTAGCAAAAAAAATAGTAAGAGATTGGTATCAATGAGACATCAATTATATAAATGTATGTACAGTAAGTAAAAAACACATATCATAATATAAATAGAGTATATCACAGTTATATACAAGAGCTCATAAGGAAACAGTGCAAAGATGATATGATGATTGACAGAAACGCAGGCATATCTGTTAAGGTGAGCTGTTGTCTAGCCTGCTGTTCTCATGGACGCCAAGGTTCTTGTAGCAGTCACTATTTCCACCTCATGGCCAAGGATGGTGACGGGCTCCACGGGTGTCCTCTTCCTCCTGAAGGCAATCACCAGTTTCTTAGTCTTGTCAGTGTTCAGGAGTAGATGGTTTGCCTGGGACCACCCCACAAAGTTTGCAATCAGTGTCCTGTTCTCCAGCTCCCGTCCATCTCTTATACACCCAAACACTGCAGTCATCAGAGAACAGAAACGTAGACAGGACTGTACCCTGTGAAGCTCCTACATTACTGACCACAGTATCAGGTCCCCAGTCGCACGTACTGAGGCCTGCCTGACAGGGAGTCAGTAAGGTAGTCCAAGAGACAATGGCAATTGCTTTGAATCGAGAGTGAAAATAGCCACGGCTGCAGTTATTGAAGTACCATAACTTCCTCCTCAAGTACCAAAATATTTTGAAATATATTTGTATTCTACATAAAACTGCCAAGTTTAGATCAGCACAAACATGTTCTGAACTGTCTTTAAATTGTGAATCATATAATTAAAACTTAAATCAAAATTGTTAGTAAAACTGCAATTTTCCTAAATTTTCCCTAAATTGTTCAACCCCATACACTATACACCTGACTGTATACATCAACCTCACTACATGCATTATCTGTCATGGTGTTGACCCTCTTCTCTGTTGTCATGGTTTCAGGTTGGATGGCACATCTTTGACACAGTCCTGGTCATGTGGTCTATAATCGACTTTGGTCTCATTTCCTCCTTTCCATTTTTCTTGAGACTGGTGAGACATTATTGATTCACTGATTTAAAGGTCCTACTGTATATTACATAAAATTGTCTCTTGTGAGCTTTAAGCCATGTTAGAACATTGTCACCTGATCCAAAACAGACGTGGAGTTGTGTTTTATTTCATTCACACATGTTTGAGTAACCCTGTATTATTATTAGTCTGTCTACATCTCCAAAGCTCAAAATGCTCTGTTCCACTTTGTGATGTCATGTAGCAGTAGTTTTCAAGTGAACAGCCCCTTTTACTTTTAGTTCAGTAGAGATTGGCAATTCCATGTCTGAATTTATCCACATGATTCTAGTGAAGGTTTATGGAGTTTAAAAACACAGTGGAGCACTTCCTGTATTACCAGATGACATCACAAGGTGGAACAGAGTATTTTCTGTTTGAGAAAAGAACTGGATTTGTGTGTTAAACATGTGTGGATGAAACAAAAAACAACTCCAGGTATTTTTTTGACAACATTATAACACAGATCAGAAAATATCTTCATTTAGGCCTTTTAAACATCATAAATACTCTTGTTTTTTGAACTGCTCACCCTGTAGTTTACATCTCTACAAACATGTTACAAAATGTGTTGTATGATGTGTGCTAGATCATCTGGTCCAGGTGTACACACCTAAAATCTGACAAACACATGAACTAACCAAAAATGTTTTCTTAACCTTGAACATTTTTCTCACCTTAACAAAATTCACTATTAAACCAGGTCTAAACCAAATATAAACCAGGTTTAGATCAGATTTAGACCATGGCTAAACCAAGTCTAAACTTAGTTTAACTGTTAACTGGGTTTAAACCAGGTCTAAACCAGCCTAAACCAGGTCTAAAGCAGGTCTAATTCAGATCAAAACCAGGCCTAAATCAGGTCTAAAGCAGATGTAAAGCAGGTCTAATCCAGGTCTAATCCAGGTCTAAACCAGGCTTAAACCAGGCCTAAATCAGGTCTAAACCACGTCTAAAGCAGATCTAAAGCAGGTCTACAGCAGGTCTAAACCAGGTATAAACCAGGGCTAAACCACTCTAAACTGGGTCTAAACTAAATCTAAAACTGGTCTAATCCAGGTGTAAACCAAACTGTAAAGTGGGTCTAAACCAGGTCTAAACCAGGTCTAAACCAGGTCTAAACCAGGTCTAAACTAGGTCTAAACTAGGTCTAAACCAGGTCTAAAGCAGGTCTGATCCAGGTCAAAACCAAGTCAGAAACCGGTCTAAAACAGGCCTAAATCAAATTTAAAGCAGGTCTACAGCACGTCTAAACCAGATATAAACCAGGTCTAAATCAGGTCTAAGCCAGGGCTAACACAGTCTAAACCAAGTCTAAACTAAGTCTAAAACTGGTCTAAACCAGATCTAATCCAAACTCTTAAGGGGTTCTAAACCAGGTCTAACCAAGGTGTAAATGGGGTGGGTCTAATGCAGGTCTAAAGCAGGTCTAACTCCCTTCTCTCCCTCCTCTGTGGTCAGTTGCGTCTGGCTCGCTGGTGGCCTGGTTTCTTAAAGTGGATGCGTCTGGTTTGGGCCGGTGTCCGATCTCTCTGGACTGTCTCCTTGGTGCTGGTCACGCTCTTCTTCAGCTACTTTGGGTATCACTCGCTCAGTTCGAACCCAAACAATCTGTGCGAGGGTGAAGAAGACTGCGACATCCCCCGCTGGCACATGAATGATTTCCTCCACAGTTTAATGACGGTGACGAGAGCTTTGTTCGGAGAGTGGATTGAAACCATGTGGCTTTGTATGGAAAAGACCGGCCCCTCTATGTGTGTGCCCTTCTACATCACTCTACTCATAGTCGGGAACTTTCTGGTGAGTGAAAACTAAACCAGGACTAGACCAAGATAAGACCAGATCAGACCAGAAGATTAGACCAAAATTACACTAGGACTCACCAACAACACCAAGACTAGATCAGGGCTGGATAAGATCTAAACCTGAATAAAACCAGACTAGACAGGACTACACCAGGACTAGAACCGGATCCTTAACCAGGAGACTAGACCCGGACTAACTAGGACTAGACTAGAATTAGACCCGGACTAATCCACACAACTGATTCAGGATTAACCCAGGACTAATTCAGGATAAAACAGGACCACCCCAAGATTAGACAGTTTAGAGTAGACCAAGACTAGACTAAGTGCTGGATAAGATCTAAACCTGAACCAAACCAGACTAGAACCAAAGACTTAAGCAGGAGACTAGACCAGGGCTAAACTAGCACTAGACTAGAATTAGACCTGGACTAAACCAGAACTAAACCAGGATTAGAACTGGAGCCTTAACCAGGAGACTAGACCAGGACTAAACTAGAACTAGACTAGAATTAGACCTGGACTAAAAAAGAACTAAATCAGGACTAGAACTGGAGCCTTAACCAGGAGACTAGACCAGGACTAAACTAGGACTAGTTTAGAACTAGACCCGGACTAAACCAGAATTAGTCCATCAGATTTAACCAAGAGATTTAAGCAGGAGACCAGGACTAGACCAGAACTAAACCAAGAATAAATCAGGACTAAACCAAGTCTAATCCAGGACTAAATAAGGACTAAACCAAGTCTAAACCGAGACTAAACCAGATCTAAACCAGGTCTAAACCAGAACTAACCCAGAACTAAACCAGGACTAAACTGGGACTAAACTGGCTCTAAATGGGGACTACACTACTTCCATGTCCCTTCTTGTGTTGTGTCATGTCGGTGTCTCGTTGCAGATCTTGACGCTGTTTGTGACGTTATTGATGAAGTGGATCAGCAACAAACTGGCTCCAAGAGATGAGGAGAAAATGAACATTTTAAAAACCCGACTGAAGAAAGTGCTCAAAGTTTGTGGCATAAACGGAGGAGAGACAAAGAAGGAAACAGGTCATTTTTATTTTATTGATATTTTATTTCATCTAGCAACCATTAAGAACAATATATCATTTACAGTGTGGGCCTGGTTAAATAAATAGATAAAATATTGCGTGTTACACCCACTAAATGAATGTTCTGTTATTATCACTATAATGTGTTGGTGGATGTGCTCATTTTATGGAAAGTGTGGAAATGTTGTGTACTGACTTGTCTGCAAGTCTCTGGTCTTCAGTTGAAGTATTTGAAGAATATTTAAAGCTTTAAATCATGTTAGAATGTTGTTACTTCCTCAAAAACAGATCCTTGTTGTGTTTTGTTTCATTTACATATGTGAGTAAATCTGGTTTATTAGTCTGTCTACATCTCCAAAGCTCAAAATGCTCTGTCCCACCTTGTGATGTCATGAAGTGGTGGTTTTCAAGTTAAACAGCTCCTTTTACCTTTAGTTCAGTAGCGATTGGCAATTCCAGGACAGATGTAATCCAAATGATTCTAGTGAAGGTTAAACAAGTGTGAATGAAGAAAAACACAACTCCGGGTCTGTTTGTGATGAGGAAACAACACCGAAACATGGATCAGAAAACAGCGTAACAGAGGTGAGGACTTGCGAGTCATGACTTGAACTCAAGTCAGACCTGAGTCACTATTTTTAGGACTTGAGACTTGACTTGTTAAAATGGACTAAGACTTGGGACTCGACTTGGACTTGAAGGTCAATATCTCGAGACTTGACTTGGACTCAAGCCTTTGACTTGAGAAGACTTGGTGCTTCTCCTAAAATATATATGTGTTTAGAAAATGCTTTTCTCTTTACACTTGGTACATGCTTAATTTTAAAGGAACAAACTGCAACATGTCCCTCCCACTCCTGTTTATTACTTTGGAAGGAACTGAAGTACTGTGATGTGGAATCATCAAATATACTACTGCAATATACAGTACAATACAGTAACACAGAGGCAACTACAAAGAACATGATCCTTCCATGTCAGTGCAGCCTTCACGACAAAATAACTGTTATTTAGCATTTTAAATCCAAATTCTTTCTGTTCTGACCATAATGATTAGCACTAAGACATTTAAAAAGGAAAAATAAACATTTCTACAACTCTTATCTAAATATTCATATATAAATATACCATGACTTTTTAAGTATCTAAGCTTTATTTGGTACTTTTTTGGTACCAAATAAAGACAACTTGGATTTGACTTGGACTCATGGGCCAGTGACTCAAGACTCGACTTGGACTTGCGTGTCTTTGACTTGGGACTTGACTTGGACTTGAGGTTAGAGACTTGAGACTTACTTGAGACTTGCAAAACAACTACTTGGTTCCACCTCTGCAGCATAATATCAGACCTTTAACATGTTGTCTTTCCTTGTTAAAACCAATCCTACTACTTGCATCTGCTGTAGCTGTTTATTCATTGAATAATCTGATAACCCCAGAAATCAGATTATGATCAGATTTGGGTGTGCATGTAGAAGGATCATGTCTTGTGTTTTGTCTTGTGTTTTGCAGGAGACCCAGAGGATAAAGAGAGTGTTGCTCTGAGGTGCGTGCCACCGGAACAGAGCGAGGAGAACGGGACCCAGGGCAGCACCCTGCCCATCGGAGAGGCTCAGGTCTGCTCTTTGTGTCCAGAGAATTTCATCACCATCTGCAACTTTTATTCCACAGCATTCATCTTTACCCTACATGTAGATTCACCTTTTTTGTCATTTAATACTTGTGCTTTACAGAATTTCCAAAAGATGAAGGAAACTGAAGCCCCCCAAGAAGTTCCCGAGGACTGCTGCTGTCAAAGTACAATAAATTACTATCAATTGCTACAATTACTTCTACTTAGTAATACTGGACATTCTGAATTCTAGGCAAGGCAAGGCAAGTTTATTTGTAGAGCACAATTCATACACAAAGTAATTCAAAGTGCTTTACAGAATAAGAACTACATTAAAATCATAATAAAAACAAATCAAAACATAAATAATCATGAAGATTAAAATTAAAAAAGAGACATAAATTGGAGAGAAGAGTGCGGAATGAAAACCTTTTCAGTTATATGCACAGTCAAACAGAAATGTTTTGAGCCTGGATTTAAACAGCGTCACAGAAGAGTCTGTCTCACATGTTCAGACTGTTCCAGGTTTTAGCTGCATGAACCTGAAACACTGACTCCCCTTGTTTAGTCCTGATTGTGGGCACCAGCAGGAGGCTGGTCCCTGAGCTCCTCAGAGTGCGAGATGGTTCATATGACACTAACATGTCATAGATGTACTTTTGGTGAATTCTTCTACTACTACTAGTACTACTGCTGCTGCTGTTGCTGCTGCTGTTGCTGCTGCTTCTACTACTACTACTAATATTATTGCTACTACTACTATTAATACTTCTACTACTGCCGCTACTACTACTACTACTACTAGTACTACTAGTACTACTACTGCTATTTCTGCTACTACTGCTACTATTACTACCACTACTTCTACTATTACTATTACTACTGCTACTGTTACTACCACTACTACATCTTCTACTACTACTACGTGTTCTACTGCTACTGCAACAACAACAAACTTTATTTATAGAGCGCTTTTCATACAAAAATGCAACATAAAGCACTTTACAGAGATTAAAAACTATTTTACATTTCCAGCCCCCGCCCGCCATACATATACACAAAGCTAAGTTAAACACTTGGGTCTTGAGTTTACTATCTGTGACATAACTATTTTTTACTTCTACTCATTCTACTAACTATGTGACATCTGACATAGCTATCTTCTTTACAGCTAACTATCTGAAATCTGGAAATTTATACTAACTTGTCTGGAATTTGGAACCAGTACCAGTACTACTTCTACTATTACTACTACTTCTACTACGACTGCTACTATTACTACCACTACTACTACTACTACTACCACTACTAGTACTACTTCTTCTACTACTATTACTGCTACTAGAACTACTATTAATAGCTCCACTCCCTGTCCCTGTACACTTAACATACTCGTATAGTGTGTAACATGGGATTGGTTTGTCCCCATGTAAAGTGGGATTAGTTTGTAAGCATGTAACCTCCTCTGAATGTCATGACAGAGTGCTACAGCTGCTGCCCTGCTCTCAACCTGGACTCATCTCGAGGCGTCGGCCGTGTTTGGTCCAGCCTCAGACGGAGCTCCTTCTACATCATCCAGCACCCGTACTTCAACAACTTCATCTTCTTCATCGTCATCGTCAGCAGCATAGCCCTGGTAATACATCTGTACCCACTTTGGACAATATCAAACTGATGATAGGATCAGATGAGCAGAGCTGCCATTTTTGTTTAAAGAGAACAGATTAGAAATTACAAAAATCACATAGTGCAACTTTTCTCACAATAATAATAATGATTACTACTAATACTAATAGATCCTAGTACTTCTATAGTACTGCTATTACTGCTACTACTACTATTGCTGATAATACTGCTGCTGCTGCTGCTGCTTTTACTGCTACTAATTCTACTATTGCTACTTCTACTACTACCACCACTAAAATTGCTACTGCTGCTACTACAACTACTGCTGCAACTACTACTATTGCTACTGCTACTTTTACTACCATGGCTACTACTACTTCTACTAGTACTACTACAGCTACTACTGCTACTTCTACTACTGCTACTTCTACTTGTACTACTCCTGCTAATACCACCACTAATTTTGCTGCTACTACTACTACTACTACTACCACTACTACTACTACTACTATTTCTTCTACTAGTACTACTACAGCTACTACCAATATCAATATTGCTACTCCTGCTACTACTACTACTACTATTACTACTACTACTACTACTACTACTACCGCTACTGCTACTGCTACTCATTTTTTTTACATTTTAATATTAAATCTTAACTTGCTTTTGATTGACGTTATTGGGCCTCATTCATGAAGCGTTCCTACAAACAAATTTGTACTTAAGGCCTTCTTACCAAAATTTTTGGTATTCACTAAGAAGCACTCGAGAACAAAAATTGTAAAAAAAAAAATAATTTACAATATTATTTCTCTGATAATGCAATAAAAATTCCATTTCCCCCATGATTTCAAGTGATATATTTTCTTAAATTATTTCATATAAAAATATGACTATGTGATCCAGTAACGTTTATGAGGAGTTTTGTAGAGCACCCGCTTGTTTCAATAAGTTTATGACTTAAATATTCCCTTCCTGAATGTGTTCATGTGAATTTAGACATTTGAAATCGCTGCTGAAGCTGTAGAACAGCCATTGTCTGTAGACGCTCCACCTGACCTCCTCGGTCAGTTTCTGGCCATCACCCATATTGACCATATCTAGAAGTTCTGAGGACGTTTCTAACTACATACATATTAATTTTTTTAATGAAATGTAAATGAGCGTGAATGTGTTTGTAGCTGGATGTTGGTGTATTAGCCCCAACTGTCACTTAAGAAGGAATTCAGATGCTTAAGAACATTTTGTGAATCTGGGGCAGAGTTCTCTCAGCATCTTCTTAAAGTGGAAGTTACGAACATTTTTAAAGAAAAGATTCATGAATGAGGCCCATTGATCTCAAGTGAAGATAGTAAGAAAATACGTAATAGGTACTTTTTTTTATTTTATATGCACTTGAGATCAATAATGTCATTATTTTAACATAATCATTTATAGGGTCGGAACCAGATTTTTAAAATTTTATTAAAAAGTTGAAGAAAGAATTTGTCATTTTTATCAGTTTGCAGTGGTCAAAGTTATTCCTCGCTTGCCTTATGCATTCAGAGCATCCTAATTATTCACCGTGAATAATTACAAGCACTTTACACAACATTCAGAGATCAGACAGCACACAACAGTCTTATTTTGACCTCAAGAGCTGCCTTTGTTTTACTGGGAAAGACAAATTATGCTCAGATAAATCAAAAAATCAGGAACAGGCTCCTTAATATCTAATTTGCATTTTTAAACAAATTTGCAATAAACATTTGCAATATACAAATTTTTATTGTTACTGCAATGAAGGTGCACTGTGTAACATTTCTGGTGGAGGGTTTGCCAGCTGCTTGTTATTGCTTTATCTAGAATGTTCCAGTATTAATTAAACCTATCTATCACGAGGGAGACGAGCAGGTTACAGCACTACGCTACATTATAGTTCAGATCTGTGGAGAGTCGCCCCTATTCAAAGAAGGACACAGTATTTTTGAGCAAAAGAAACACATGAATAATGCTAGATGGATATGTTTAACTCTTTACCATGGAACATTCCAGGCAAGCAATAACATCTCCATGGAGACAAACAGGTAGCAGACCCTCTACCAGAAAAGTTGAGTAGGGCACCTTTAAGTATGTATTGATGCACCTGTCTGACCTTTTTGCCGTTTTGTTGCTGACAGGTGTTTGAGGACATGTACCTGTCCACTCGCTACCACACTATGGTGTTCCTAGGCTATCTGGACCAGGTGGTCACATACCTGTTTGTGCTGGAGGTTCTCTTCAAATGGCTCGGACTCGGCTTCAAGAAATACTTCACGGACGGATGGTGCTGGCTTGATCTCATTGTAACACTTGTAAGTTAGTTTTGTTTTGTAAGGGCCCATACTATTTTGTGATCTATATTATTTGCTATGTTGTTTCCTCATCACAAACACACCTGTTGTGTTTTGTTTCATTCACACGTTTAGCACTAGGGATGGGCATGATTAGTTGACTAATCGATAATTGATCATTAAGAATTTCACGTTTGATCACATTCATTTTTAATCTATAAACCAAATGTAGGTTGCTGTGTGTAGCGTAGTGTAAGGAGACAAGGCTGCATCTGACACAAACACTGGATTTGTGCCTCACAGTCCCACGTTTGGGCTCTGGCTCCTTGGAGACACTGTACCACTCAGTGATCGTGTTTACATGCACATCACTGTCCCGGGTTTGATTGGGTTTTTTGAGAATCCCGGTTTCGTCATGGTGTAGTATCCCGGTTACTGCAACATAAAGTTGAGTGCACATGTGTCCAAAGGACAATTTTTTAGTCTTTTCATCACAACAGTAACCAACATAAATAAAGTGACCAACATAAATAAAATGAGTGTTAAATAAAGAGCTGCACTAAACCTGCACACGTCTGATCTCTGAAAACATGAACCAATGCGACACACACAGAACAGACTCAGCATCACAGAGAGAACACTCATTTTCCACTGAGTCGTGTCCTTTAGTCTGACAGAAGCTGACACATCAGTGCACAAGGAGCGAGCTGTTTTTTTCAGCGCTTATAGTTTATGCAAATAAGCCATGTGGTTTTAAGTTTGGTTTCTGTAAAACGTAAACAAACGTGTCAAAGCTGCATTAAACACTTTATAATGTTAAACGGGCTGATGTGTCTCTAGAGTGGTTATGGTTTATATGTTGTAAATTGAGTTTATTTATGCAGATTAGTAATATTAATAATAACAATCATTTTAATATAAAAACGTTAATGATTAATTGAAAATTGATTGTTAATTCTCCCAATGATCGATAAAGAAAATTTAATCGAATGCCAATCCCTATTTAACACACATACCCTGCATATTTAGGTTCTTCTCTCAAATGGAAAACACTTTGTTCTACCTTGTGATGTCATATTGTAATTGGTGGGTTTCAGATGACATCACATCATTCTATAGGTCAATATTAATTAATACAGATGGGGGGGGCAGCTAAAATTAATATTGTTAAAATGCAAAAATATGTTGTAATACAGTGAATTCTTTGGGTTTATCAGTAATTGAAAATACTCAGCATTTGTGAATTTACCTTTTGGATATTTCATGGCAAAGTACAATGTAATCAAAAGGGAGAATCTGAAAACCACCAATATAGGAAGTGCTCCACAGTTTTCAATTCCATATACCTTCACTAGAATAATTTGAATTTCAGTCCTGGAATTGCCGATCTCTTCTGAACTAAAGGTAAAACGTAAATTTTAACTTACCACTCCATGACATCATAAGTTGGAACAGAGCATTTTGAGCTTTGGACATGTAGACAGACTAATAAAAGTGTTACTCAAATGTGTGAATGAAACAAAACACAACTCCAGGTCTGTTTTTGAGGAGGCAACAACATTTTAACATGTCTTAAAGCTCACAAGAGTCCATTTGTCATTTGTTGTGTGTGTTGTCTTATTTTTTTGCACAATAAGAGTGCAGTGACCAGTAGATACTAATTAACAAGGTTCATTCTGTTGTTCATTTATTCCAGATCCTGTTTTAATTTACTTTCACAATATTTGACGTTATGAAAATGGCTTAGTGGAATATCCGTTTCTGAGATTGGTGCATCAGTGGCACAAGACCAAGAGCAGATTTAAACCACAAAAAGTATTCTAAATCTACAGTAGTGTTAAGAAAAATATGTAATAAATAAAAAACAGAATGAAACACTTACCTCTACTATAGTACTTAGTTTAAATCATAAAAAGTATTCATTCAACCTTCTATAGTATCTTAAAGAGCCTTTGACAATTTGGACTACTCATTTTACACATAAGATATTTAAGATTTTACTAAAAATTTTATAAATTTTTTGCAGGTTTGGCATTTTTTTCAGGTTGTAAATCGCAGCATCACATTAGGGAATTCCATAGCTGTTACCTAGCAACCATATTGGCAAAAGGAGAAATTCTGTTTGTTAACTGGACAAAAGTTTATTATTTGACCAAATAAACTTTTGTCCAGTTGACAAATTGAATTCTCCTTTTGCCATGGATTCTACCTGGACGACTGAGGGATTTTACACATAGCAACCATATTGTACATCATGCCAAAACTCCTTAAATGTATACAGAAATTAATATTTGCCAAATAAAAATGCTGAAATTATGTTTAAAATAACAGAAAAATATGTTTCTAGCGTGAAAATTTTTACTAATTTTTGGATAGAATTCTTACCGTGATGTCTTCAATGTGGAACTCTCTGAAACAGAACTCTAAGAATGACTTCTTTAATTTTTGTTTTTCAACTTTTCTTGACAAATTGCTTCTTAATCTGTCTAAAACTATAATGTATATTTACAACATGTATTATCCCACCGAGTTAAGTCAAAATAAGAGAATGATGAAAACCTGTCATATGCACTTTAAATCTTACCTTAAAGTCAAAAAAGCCACAAATTTCGAGGTAGTGCAAACCAGCTGTACAGATGTTAAATACTGACCCCAAAAATCTGCAGTTCCATGTGTCTTGTATTGAATGATAAGTGGATATAGGGATTATTGTGACAGGTCTATTACATTGGTTGGATATGGTTTAGTCCTGGCTTGGTTTTGGTTAGTTGTCCCCACTGAGCTGAATACATCTCCCCGTGTGTTTTAGGCATGTGTGTTGTCTGTGGCGGCTCAGACCTCTGGACTGGGCTCAGCTCTCATCAGTCTGAAAGCTCTGAGACCTCTGCGTATCCTCACTCACATCAGAGGCACTCGGGTGAGGAAAGAAACATTTATTTATTTATTTATTTATTTATTTATTTATTTATTTATTTATTTATGTGAACAGAGATGACAAAATGTAATGTATTATAGAATATGGATGACATGGGTAAGAAGTTCTCAGGTTCAATTCTCTGGCCAGGTGCAGGCTTTCTGTGCAAAGTTTTCATGTTCTCCTCATGTCTGGATTCCCCATCAACCCAAAACCTGGTCTATAGACTTCAAGCTTGTCTTAAATTCGCTTTCACTTCCCACTGCCCACTGTTCTCAACAAATAAGGGGGAGTATTTTAGGAATGTCACAATATCACATTTTTTGTTACTATAGTTGTGAGGAAAAAAACATAACCATTGTATGATTATTATGACAAAAACAACAGAACAACAGATTATTCACAGTGGAATTCATGATTCTCATGCATTACATTTTTACTAGATCACCATTCCTTTATTATGTCACATGCTTTATCAAATCTTTATCAAGTCAAACAATTTTTTTGATCCGGAAGGAAATTCAAAGTGCAGCAACAGCAACATAGAAAAGATTTAAAGTTAGCAGTCCATCCTCTTGCATTCATTAGCTATAGGGATTCATTGTACACACATATGGCGTGTATGACAGTCGACTTCCAGAGTGGAGCAGGACAGGGACAAGAGCCTGTCTCCAGAGGTGCTGGTGATGGTGCTTGGGCTGCTAGGGGTTATCCAGGATGGACAGGAGTTTGTTTGAGGGATTACTGATAAGCCAAACATCCGTAGACTTGAATAGCAGTTGTAGAATAAACAGGGAGTTGAATATATGAGTGCTGATATTTAAAGCTGTCCCTCAGGTGTCCGTGTCGGTGCTGCTGAGGATGCTGCCCCCTCTCTTGGACGTGCTCCTGGTCTCTGTTACGGTCTGGTCCTTCTTCTCCATTGTCTTCATCCAGTTCCTTGCTGGACGTTTCGAATTCTGCCTCAACGAAACCTCGCAAGAGGTATTTGGTGCCAAGGAAGTTCCAAACAAGACCCAGTGTTTCATGCTGATTGAGAACAACCTAACAGAGGTCCGCTGGAAGAGTGGTCCCATGAACTTTGACAATATGCCCCAAGCCATGCTCTCACTCTTCTCTGTGGTAAGTGCACAAACACATGGAGACTTCAGTGCTCACTTACCCCCCTATCCCAGCCCTCTTCCTCCAATGATGCTCCAAATTCAAACTCCGGGTCATACATGTTTAGTTCAAAAATACCACAAAGCCTCTTTTTTCACCAAGAAAAACACATAAAACTAAATTTGGTGTTTGCTGCAGTGAAAGGTTAACCTGGCCAGCAATATGAATTCACAAACTCCTGAGGATCCAATTGCCAACAATATTTGGGCATTTTTGTGCAAACTAGGCATACTATAGCTTTCTAGTCAAAAATGTATAGAACTTAGTATGTCCTGGCTGGCAGTTTATCAGCTCTATTTGAACTGTGGTTTTGGGCCAGAGAGTAAGTGTTTAGTCCCACTTTAAGATTGCTTTCATTGTAGATTTGAGCTTCCAAGAAAGCAGAAAGCGCTGTCCCAAATATTAAACAGCACTTAGGTGCCCTGCGAAATTCAACTAAAAACAGCATAAGAAATCTCGGAGTGTTTTTTGATGATTCGATGTCTTTAGAACCCCAGTCTAAGCAACTCACTAAAAACTGCTTTTTCCAACTGCGAAACATATCTAAGCTTTGCACAATGATTTCTAAAGCTGAGTTAGAGATAGTAATCCATGCATTTGTGTCATCGAGACTAGACTATTGTAACAGTCTTTTTACCTGCCTGAGCAAGAAGGGACTTACCCGAGTACAGATGGTGCAAACTCTGCTGCAAGGCACCTGACCTGCACCAATAGGAGAGCGCATTTCACTCCAATCTTAAAATCCTTACATTGGCTCCCTGTTCTTTTTCATGTCCACTTTAAGATTCTGGTGCTGACCTTTAGGGCCCTACATGACCAGGCTTCTGCTTACATCACAGATCTGATAAAGTTGTACATCTCTGCCCGTAGCCTGAGTTTCACCAGCCAAAATCTGCTAATGGTCGCTCAGACAAGTTTTAAAACACGAGGTGACAGATCCTTTCACCCGTCTCCCCTAAACTCTGGAATGAACTGCCTCCTCACCTTCCCTCTCTAGATCGTGAAGATGCTTTTATTATTTTTTTTCAGTTATTTGTTTATACATTTTCCAAGACAATACACTTACACATATGCAAATATTGTTTAAGGAACAAACAATTTTTTAAACTTAATTTTCCAAATAAAATACAGATTTTTACTTTTATATTGGAAAGAGAGAAAAAAAAGAAAAAATAAATACAATAAAATAAATAAATAATTAAAAAACAGAAAACTCATTGGACAGAACATTGGGGAAATGAGCACTCAAATAAAATTCAAACGTATCGTTTTAACAAAACTCAGCCAACCCTTCCATATCTTTTCAAATTTCTCTGTTTCTAATCTTAGAGCATAAGTTAATTTTTCCATAACATAAATATTGTGAATTATGTCAAACCTGTTGTCTTTTGTTGGTGCTTCAGCTTTTAACCATTTCTTTGTAATACCTTTTTTTTCTGCTAACAACATGATTTTAGATATTTTAAAATTTTATTTGTTTTTACAATTTGCATCTAATTTGCCAAAATATAAGACTTCACAGGTAAAAGGGAGGTCAGTATGTAGGACCTCCTCCATAACGTTCTTCAATTTTTTCCAATAACATTGTATTAGGGGATATGTCCAGAAAATATGAATATGGCTGCCACCATTTCCCCGCACTGTATCTAACATCTTGTGTGTCGATATTTTGTCTGAGCTGGTGCTTTGAAAAATCTCACCAGATTTTTCCACCCATATTCCCTCCACATTGTTTTCCATATATTTTGAGTAATCTCTTCCCAATCTTCTTCAATTAAGCTAATATTAGCTTCCACATTCCATTTCCTCCATGTGTTGTGTATCATCCCTTTTTAAATTTTCCAACCCAATATATATCTTTGAAATATTTTTTTTACTTAGTTTAGATTTGTGAGCTAATATAATTAAATTAATCATTTGTAGTTCTCCTTCAAAGTTATCCCTTATTATGTCATGCTTCAAATAATGCTTTACTTGTAAGAATCTGTAGAAATCTTGATTTGATAGCCCGAATTATTCTTTGATTTCTTGAAAACCTTTTTTTTTTTTTTCCCCTTCCTTTAATGAATACAAAAGTTGCAATTTAAACAAGAGTTTTTCAACTACAAAATTAAAGTTCCATGGTCTTATGACCGTTGGAAAATTGTTCTAAACCCCTCCATCCCCCTCTCATTCAAAAGGGAAGTTTGCAAGGGGCTCGTAACCTTTGCATTTGTTATTCATCAATAATTCCCACCACATACGTGGACCATGTTCCCATGTTTTAAATGGCTGATCATTCGTATTGGGTATAAAATCTGATTTGTATCTGATATTATTTTATTATGAATGTATCTTGCTGTTTTGATCTTTTGTATGTGAAGCACTTCGTGACCTACTGTATGTCTGTGAAAAGCACTATATAAATAAACTTTACTTACAGCTATAGAATGTTGTGTTCCCATTGTTATAATCAGTGTTGCCATTTTTCCTTTTGTTTTTCAGGCCACACTTAAAGGCTGGTTAGATATTCTTTATAATACGGTGGATTCTACCATGGTAAGCATCACCAACAAAGTCTCAGAATTGTATTTCTTCTGCAGTTAATTTTAGTATTAAAAACAGCCCACTAAATCTAAACCAGGACTAAACCGAGACTAACCAAGAACTGAACAAGACCCAAACCCAAACTAAACCTGGACTAAACTAGAACCAAACCATGACTAAACTAGGACTTATGTAGATCCAAACCAAAACTAAACCATCCAAACCAGGACTAAACCAGGACTAATCTAGAAAAAAACAGGACTCAAGGCAAGACTAAACTAGACCCAAACCAGAAATAAACTAGGACTAAACTGTGACTAATCCAGAATTTAACTAGACCCAAAATAGGACTAATCTAGAACCAAAGCAGACTCAAACCAGAACTCAACTAGGAACATTCTAGAACTTAATCAGACCCAAACCAAACCAGGACTAAACTGAGACTAATTTAGAACTAAACCAGACCCCAAATAGGATTAAACTAGATCCAAACCAGGACTTAACTAGGATTTATCTAGAACCAAACCAGATTTATTTGGTTTAATCCTAAACTAGGATTTATCTAGAATCAAATCAGAGCCAAACCATGACTAAACTAGGACTAATTTAGAACTAAACTAGACCTCAAACAGGACTAAACTAGACCCAATCCAGGACTAAACCAGAACTAAAAGCTAAACTAGGACTTATCTAGAACTAGACCCAAAAACAGGAGTAATTTAGCAGATTCAAGATTCAGATTAAAACCAGAATTTGGACTAATCTAGAATTTAACCAGACCTACGTAAACCAGGATTAAACTAGACTCAAACCAGGTTGAAGCCAGGGCCAAACCAAGCCAAAACCAGGACTAAACTAAGACTAATCTGGAGGAAACTGAACTAAACCAGAGGCAAACCAGGTCTGACTGAGTGTTTTCTGTGTTGCAGGTTGAAGATCAGCCTGGACATGAGGAGCAGATCACCTACTATTTCCTGTTTCTGGCCTTCTTCCTGTTTGGCTCTTTCTTCTGCTGCATCAACATTATTAAAGTGCTGTTAGACGCTTACAGCTCCCAAACACACAAGATAAGTACCACTCACTTACAATGCATTGGATTTTCTATTCTGTTGTATAGAAGTACTGAACAATTAGGAAAATATCCTTTATATTTATTCCGCATGTATTACTTTTTTAACTTTCTATACTAGCGAATTGGAGCTAGAGTCGATGGAGCTGGAAGCTTGCCCATGATCACTTTTTATTTGGAACGCACCAGCTAATGTGTTAATTGTCTGTTTATATACTGCACAAAAAATTCTTCACCTGACTTAAACCCAATAGAACACCTCTGGGACATTATGTTTGGGTCCATCAGATGCTCCTCAGACTCTACAGGAGCTCAGTGATGTCCTCACACAGGACACCACCCATCAACGTTGTCAAACATGTAAACAAGCACATGGGGGCCACACATGAGAATGAGCATTAAGCATTTTGAGTTGCAGAAATTAAATTTGGGCAAAATGGACTAGCCTGCCATGTCATTATTTCACTTTGATTTTCAGGGTGTGTATACAATGAAGCCCTCTGTGGACTGAACATTTTTATTTTCATTTAGAGGTGGCATCCTTTTGTTCCTAAGACATCGCCCTGTCAATATTTTTATAGATATCCAGCATTTTTTTGATATTGAGATCTGATGTGTTTTCAAAGTGTTATTTTTTGAGCAGTGTATATACAGTCTATGACCCTCCACTAGAAAGGTTATACCATATTTTTTGGACTGTAAGTCACTCCGGAGTATAAGTCGCATAAGTCGCCCCAGCCAAAAAATGCGTAATGAAGAACAAAAAAACATAAATAAGTTACACTGGACTATACTATACTAAGTCGAGCTTTTTGGGGGGAAATTTATTTGATAAAATCAGAGACCAGGAACTGACATTTCTGTTAAGGTTTGGCAAGAGGGACCCCAAAGCAAAGCCAGGACTCAGTCAAGTTTTAAACAGTTTATTTTACAAACGGAAGGCAGGCTGAGGAGGCAGGGAGCTGGCCGGCTTCTCCAGAGGCAACAGCAGACAACCACGGAGACACCTGGGCGAAAACAGGAGCAGGTAAGTCCAAGACAAACAGCAAACAAAACGGGTATATATCCAAGAGCCTGATAGACGCTACCGAACAGGACGGAATTATCTGGCAAAGTGGTGGTGAGAAGACCAGGGCTAAATACAGAGGCTGATGAAGGAATTGATTGCAGGTGTGTTTCATCTGCTCTGGAAGAAGCCACGCCCCCTGCCACACTCAAGCCCTGCAACAGAAAGGGGAGGGGGAGAGAACAAAACCAATCCTAACAATTTCATCTTGAAAGGCAACAACAGAGAACAACAGACTGTTAATGTCACATATGAACAGTTCTTCAGATAACTATAAAATAAACAACAGAACAAGATTACCAAACTCTCCATCTCACTCCAAATCACTAAATCCATTCAATTCTTCATTCACATTGTCACTTCGGAGCAACTTGGCGACCTCCGGAGGTAAACGTAACTCTTCTGTGTCGCTGTCGTCAGACTCAGCATCAGTTCCACTTAGAATTATTCGGGCCTTTCTGAATCCCGACAGGATGGTTTCGGTGTCACTGAAGTCCAGACTTTGTCCATCCATCCAGTGACTTCCAGGAAATTTGCATGTTGCACCCTCCCGGTGTCACAAGTTTCTCGCTCACTCCAAACTTTCTTTCTGCTGATCTATTACCGTTTTCAGCAGCATAATTTACTATTTGAGGCTTTTCAGTGGTACAGACAGGACAGAGGCTGTTTCTGCAGGAGACATGCTTAGTCGAGTGAAGTGACAGTGATATAGTGTGAACATTTTAATGTATAAGTCAAACCATGAAAAAAGTGCAACTCATAGTCTGAAAAACACAAGATACAAAATACAAGATACAAAAATACAAGAAATACAAGAATAACATTTCAGAAAATGCTTGTAGAGGTCTAAACAAAAGGGTTGGCTACAGTATAAGTGGTCTGCAAAAATCCACCTATTTAATGCACCTTATTCAGTATTGTTGAGGCTGACCTGTAGGTGTGGAGCTGTAATGAAAGAATCACAATATGACCATTAAACCAAAAGACCACAACTGCATTACAATAAATTATAATGTATGGATGTGTAGATTGTATGTGACTGTTCAAAAACCCGGTCAGTTAATTCGTGTTGTGTATGTGTTTCTATACGTTGGAGGATCACACTTGTTTTTGACTGAGAAGCAGCAGAAGAATTTCAACAATATCAGTTTTTGCCCAAAGAGACCCCTGGCCCCCTGCCCACGTCCTCAGGTAAGATTATGCGATCAAAAAAACTTAATTCCAGAGCGTCCGTCTCCTGTCTCCTCCTCTAAGTAATGAGATTGTGGGTTAGACTCTTGATCTCTCTGAGTGAAGTGTGCATGTGCTCCATGTGTTACTGTGCTGACAGAGTGGTTAAGGTTAGTTTAAGGCAGTGCTTCTCAAATAGTGGGGCCCCCCAGGGGGGCGCGAGGCTCCGTCAAGGGGGGCGCGTTTGACCTCGGGGAGCATGCTTTTTTATTTTTTTATTTTGATTTTTTTTACTATCTTAAGGGCCGTTCACACCAAAGCGTCAAAAAACGCCTTGACGCCTCTATTTGGAGTCTTTGCATTTGAGTTTAGACGCCCCCGACGCGCATCTTTGACGCCGTGGACAAACGGGACAAAAATACTTGACGCGCGTCCGTTGCCCTGGAAACAAGAGCCCGGTCCCGCTCTTTTCCCGAAACAATGTCAGACCAGACTGAGAGAGTGTTTTTATGACATAAAACATCAAAAGAGGAGATCGGGTCGACGACTGGGGCGTATATATATTTATACTCCGCTAATGACACTGGATCAGTCCCGGTCTAGTCCTGGTCTAATACCGGTCTAGTCCTGGTCTAATCACGGTCTAGTCCCGATCTAGTCCTGGTCTAATCACGGTCTAGTCCCGGTCTAGTCCTTGTTTAGTCTCGGTCTAGTCTCGGTCTAGTCCTGGTTTGGTCCTGGTGTATTCCTCGCGATCGGCTCGGTGATTGTGGCGTATATATTTATGCTCCGCTCATGTTTGTGGTTCTCGTTCTGGTTCTCGGGTCTTTCTTCCTGATAATAACGTCGCTGCGTCTCTGGATACTCGTCCCTGATTGGTTGACGCGGCGCGTCTGACGCGAAAAGTTCAGCATTTTCAGCTTCTTGACGCTGACGCTTTGGACGCGCGTCTTGGCCGCTGACGCCAAAACGCTGAAGACGCGCTGCGCTGACGCCAGATTCGCGCCGCGCTGACGCCGAAAACGCGCCGCAAAAAACGCAGGACGCTCTAGTCGCGCGTCCACATAGACTTTACATAGAAAGTGGACGCTTTGACGCTTTGGTCTGAACGGGCCTTTAGAATAAAGTGCAATTGCACTTCCACTACATTAGGGGGCAGTGGCGCTCTCATTGGCAGAGTGTGCGCAGGGAGCATTCGCTCGGTGGTGTAGGAGTTTTGTTTGCACTGAGCATGCGCGCTTTGCACACAGCACAGAGTTTGAGTATGAAGTGTAGACATGAAGTGTAGCAGACCCTCAAGTGACACCATGAAAAAATATTTAACAGGGATGAGAAGACAGGCGGAGAGAGACGGAGATAAAGAGACAAACGAAAATCTCCCGAAAGCTAAGACGAGGAAATATGACGAAGCGTATGTAGCGCTTGGCTTCACTGTGACTACGGTGGGAGACGAGGAAAGACCGGTGTGCTTACTGCGTCTAAAAATGTTGGCAGCCGACAGCATGAAGCCCAATAAATTAAGGCGTCACTTAAATACATTACACCCCAATCACTCTGATAAGCCGCTTGAGATTTTTCAGCGAAAACGTGCCGAATATTGCCGACAATCATCCCGCTTTGTGACTGCTACTTCGGTAAACCAGCGAGCATTGTTGGCGTCATATAAGGTGGCAGTGTTACGCACAGGTGTACTTATAACAATTTTATAGACAAATGATACTATCTATAGTCACGCGGGGGGGCGCGAGATGTTTTATTCGTCCTAGGGGGGGCATGACAGAAAATAATTGAGAAGCACTGGTTTAAGGTATATTTTATTGTCTCTCTCTGTCTCTCCCTCTCTCACAATGTCTCTTTCTCTGTTTTTCTGTCTCTCTGTCTTTCTCTGTCTTGGCCTCTCTGTTTTCCTCTGTCTTTCTGTCTGGGAGTCAGCGTTTCAGGTTCATGCAACTAAAACCTGGAACAGTCTTCCTGAACATGTGAGACAGACTCTTCTGTGACGCTGTTTAAATCCAGGCTCAAAACATTTCTGTTTAACTGAAAGGTTTTCATTCCGCACTCTTCTCTCCAATTTATGTCTCTCTTTTTTAATTTTAATCTTCATGATTATTTATGTTTTGATTTGTTTTTATTATGATTTTAATGTATTTCTTATTCTGTAAAGCACTTTGAATTACTTTGTGTACGAATTGTGCCATACAAATAAACTTGTCTTGCCTTGCCTTTCTATTTTTGGCTCTCTGTGTTTTTCTCTGTCTCTTTTACTCTCTCTCTCTGACTTTCTTTTTGCCTCTCACTTTCTGTCTCTTTCTCTCTTTGGCTCTCTGTATTTTTCTGTCTCTCTCACTCTCGTTCTCTGCCTCTTTCTCTCTCTGGCTCTTTTTCTCTTTTGCTCTCTCTGTCTTTCTCTCTATCTCTGTCCTTCTCTCTCTGTTTCCTGTGTCTTTTTCCCTCTCTTGGTTCTTTCTGTCCCTCTGACTCTCGCTGTCTTTGTTTCTCTCTCTTTTTTTCCCTGTGTCTGTCTCCCTGTCTCTGACTCTCTCTGCTTCTGTCTTTCTCTCTCTTGCTTTGATTCCTGTGTCTGTCTCCCTTTCTCTGTCCCTCTCTCTCTCTGTCCCTCTCACTCTTTCTGTCTTTCTCTCTCTGACTTTGTTTCCTGTGTCTGTCTCCCTCTCTTTGGCTCTGTCTCTCTCTCTGTCCCTCTGTCTCTCTCTGTCTTTGCCTCACTCTCTCTGTTTCTTGTGTTTGTCTCCCTCTCTTTGGCTCTCTCTGTCTGTCTCTCCCTCTCTCCGTCTCTCTCTCTCTTTCTCTCTCTGCGTGCACCTGAGTCCACCTTTAACCTCGTGTGTGTTTTGTGCAGGGCCGTATACGTGGGCGCCTGTGGGACCTGGTTTCTCGGGAGGCTTTTGAGTGGGTGATGCAGGTGTTCATATTTGTGAGCGTGGTGGTGTTGATGGCAGAGAGATACAACATCTCGGAGGGCGAGGAGGAAGTCCTGTTTTGGTTCTCGTTTATCCTCATCATCATTTTCACCATAGAATCCATCCTGAAGATCTGCGCCTTCAGACGCAGCTACTTCAGTGACAGCCTCAACGTCATTGACTTTGTGGTGATAATTTTTTCACTGCTCAGTGAGTGAATTTGTTTAAAGGACCCATATTCCAATCTATGTTATAATGTTTCCTTATCAAAAACATACCTGGAGTTGTGTTTTGTTTCATTCACTCACACAAACACAGCACAACACAAACATTTTCTCAAACAGAAAACACTTTTTAAAATTTTCTTTAACATTCACTTTTATTTTATACAATGATAAATAATAAACCTTTGTGCCTTCGTTAATTGTATTAATAGTATTAGTTTGCACGACCATAAACGAAAACAAAATGTTCTTAAATTTTATTTTTTAATTCCCATTGTAGTTTATTTCGCATGATCATAGACGATAAACTTTTTCGCCTTCGCTAACATTATTATTAGTTTGGAAAAAAAAAAAAAAACACTGTTCCACCTCCCTCCACTTTGTGTTTAACTCCCATACACTGTCACTAGAATCAGTTGGATCAGTTCAATCCTCAAATTGCCAATTTCTACTGAACTAAAGGTAAAAGGAGCTGTTCACTTCAAAACTACTGCTTCATGATATCACAAGGTGGATCAGAGCATTTTGAGGTTTGGAGATGTAGACAGACTAATAATGCAGGGTTACTCAAACTTGTATGAATGAGACAGATCTGTTTTTGAGGAGGTAACAACATTCTAACATAGCTAAAAGCTCAGTCAATTTTGCATAATATACTGCCTTTAAAGATTGAGTCAAATGCTTCTCTTTTCCTCTCTCTCATTTCCCTTCCTCTCTGGCTCTCTCTGTGTCTTTCTCTTTCTCTCAGGTTTGGCCCTCGCTGACCTCATGACCAAGTACTTCTTCAGCAATTATCTCAGCCTGCTCCGTCTGGGTCGCATCTCTCGGATCATCCACCGTTTCCCCGGATCTCTCCGTCTCCGTTTCCTCTTCTCCGCTTGGACCAAGTCTCTGCCCGCGCTCTTCAATCTCGCCCTGGTGCTCTTTGTCCTGATATTCACCTACACCAGCTTCGGCACCTTCCACTTTGCCCACCTCAAGAAACTAAACTATCTGTCTGACGTGTACAACTTCGAGACCTTCTGGAACGGCTTCATTTCCATGCTGATAGTGACCACGTGGGCTGGTTGGGACGGCCTTCTGTACCCGAACCTCCTGACCCCCCCCGACTGTGACCCTGTAGACATCCCACAAGTGAATATTACTGCCAACTGTGGGAATGCGCCTCTGGCCATAGACTTCTACGTGTCGTTCCTGTGTCTGAGCTCTTACGTGCTGCTGGTGATGCTGCTTGTTCTGCTGGTGGACATGTTAAACATTTTCGGGCTGATGCACTGTCATCCTCTGAGCGCACCAAACCTCAACAGCTTCTTCAAAACCTGGAAGAAGTTTGTGCCCGATTCAGCACACTTCATTCAGCGCAGGTGAGAGGCTGGATTCTATTGGTTTCTCTCGCTCTACTTCTCTCCTTTCTGTCTCCCTCTGTCTGTCTCTCTGATAATCCCCATCTCTTTTTCTGTATCTTTTTCTCACTTTGTCTCACCATCTGTTTCTTTCTCTCTCTGCCTCTCCCTTTTCTCTCCCTATTCGTCTGTCTGTTTATTGATCCCCATCTCTCTCTCTCTCTCTTTCTCTCGCTTCTAATTTATCCGTCTCTCTCTGTTAATCCCCATCTCCCTTTCTGTCTCTGTTTCATTCTCTTTCTACCTCCTCCCTTATTCTCTCCATCTTATTTGTCTGTCTGTTGATATCCTCTGTGTGCTTTATTTATTTTATTTATTTTTAATTTATTTAATTGGTTTTATTTATTTACTGCTATTCTATGATTTTGCTCTTATTTTATTTTACTGGTTTTATTATTTTAAGACTAGTACGTTTAAATCTGAGCGTTTATTTGATTGTTTTATTATTGTTATTATTATATATTTGTGCAGCACTTTGGAAACTGTTTGCTTGTGAAATGTGCTTTAGAAATAAAGTGGACTGGACTGGATATCCCCATCTCTGTTGCTCTCTCTTTCTCTGTCTCTATTAATCCTCATCTCTTTTTCTGTCCCTGGTTCTTACTTTATCTATTTCTCTCTCACTCCCCCCCTCTCTCCTTTCTTTCTCTCTCTCTCTCCCTCTGTGGCAGTCACCTCCTGCAGGGGGCAGCGTGGAGCAGGAGCACACTATCTCTGTCACTCTCTCTTCCTCTCTCTCTGTCTCTCTCTCTCTCATAATCCTCATCTCTCTTTCTGTGTCTGTTTCTCACTTTCTCTCTGTCTCTCTCTCCCTATCTGTCTCTCACTGTCTCGTTCAGTCTCTCTCTCTTTGCCTCTCTCTCTCATTATGCTCATCTCTCTTTCTGTATGTTTCTCTCTCTCTCTGTCTTGCTCTCTGTCTCTCTCTCGCTCTCTCTTTCACTCTCTCTCCCTCTGTCTCTCTCATTATTCTCATCTCTCTTTCTGTGTCTGTTTCTCACTTTCTCTCTCTCTCTGTCTCTCTCTCTTTCCCTATCTGCCTCGCTCTCTCTGTCTGTTTCTCTAGCTCTCATAATACACATCTCTCTTTCTGTGTCTGTTTCTCTCTCTCGCTGTCTCTGTGTGTGTTTGTCCCGTGTCTCTCTCTCTCTGTGTGTGTTTGTCCCGTGTCTCTCTCTCTCTGTGTGTGTTTGTCCCGTGTCTCTCTCTCTCTGTCTCTGTGTGTGTTTGTCCCGTGTCTCTCTCTCTCTCTGTCTCTGTGTCTCTCTCTCTCTCTGTCTCTGTGTGTGTTTGTCCCGTGTCTCTCTCTCTCTGTCTCTGTGTGTGTTTGTCCCGTGTTTCTCTCTCTCTCTGTCTCTGTGTGTGTTTGTCTCTCTGTCTCTGTGTGTGTTTGTCCCGTGTCTCCTTCTCTCTGTCTCTGTGTGTGTTTGTCCCGTGTCTCCTTCTCTCTGTCTCTGTGTGTGTTTGTCCCGTGTCTCTCTGTCTCTCTGTCTCTATATGTGTTTGTCTCATGTCTCTCTGTCTGTTCGTCTTGGTTAAAAAGCCTCAGTCGTGTCACTGATGATTTGAAGTGCCTCTGTCAGATGTGGGACCTGATGTTTGGTGGAAATGAGATTTTGTGTCTTTTTTTTTCACCACATGTGCTTGATTGTTTGTGCAGCCGGCTCCCAGACCTGTGTGAACGCCTGAAGAAGCCTCTGAGGGTCCCCAAGCCCTGCGAGCTTGACCTGGGCCCCGAAGATCCCGTGCACTGTCGGGACGTCCTGCTCGCTCTGTCTGTGCACGTAGGTGTTTCAGTCTTTTATTATGTGTGACTGCCTGTTTTTAATGTGCTAGACAAATACATTTGACATGACTTGACAAAAATCTAAACAAACTACAAACAGGGACGTGCAATAGATGCATCACGAATTTTGGACTTTTGGTCACTGCGCAATGCATACTGGGAAGGATTTTCTGAAAAAGTGAGCATCAAACCGCCATGTTTGTTTTCCCAGTGGGATGTGTCTATTGACAAAGCCAGTCTTTTCAAGTCTTTTGAACCATATCACTTTTGTTTCTGGTTCTGATATTGTCATATTTTAGTTTTGGGATTCGGACATCGTAATTGTGTGGTTGTTGGATCCTAACAGTGGAAAACAGCTCGAGAAATTAGTTTGTGAACTCCATGAATGCAAAAGTGAATCAGATGTGTGTAACTGCAAACTTCCATTCAAAATGTTTCCCTTCCCAACAGAATTGAAAAAATAGTGAAAGGCAAAGGCGATGGGCAGGATTGATACACAGAAAGGACCAAAAAGGAAACCTTTGGCTGCCTAAGAAATCATCCCGACTTTGCAACGAACATTTTGTATGTGGAGCACCAACAAAGCGGGATCTTGTTTGTTAAGCGAGAGGTACAGAAGACAAACAGACTGAGCTGCACTTTCTTGTTCTTGTGACTTTACAGCAACATCACGTCTTGGTCTCTTTGCAGTGAAAGTTGTTTCTTGGTGAACAGCTGTTGCCTTTCGCTTTGGCGTTGACTTTTTAAATTTGTAACCAAGGTGGAGCGAGGGATCGAGATTTTGCTTTGTTGGCTCTCCACATACAAAATGTTCTCTGCAAACTCAGGATGTTTTCTTAGGCAGACAAAAGTTTCCTTTTTTGTCCTTCCTGTGTATCAATCCTGCCCATCACCTTCACCTTTCACTATTTTTCAATTCCACTGGGAAGGGAAACAGGAGGTTTGCACTCACACACATCTGATTCCCTTTTGCACTTATGGAGTTCACAAACAAATTTTCTAAGCCGTTTTCCGCTGTTAGGATCCAACAACCACACAATTAACGATGTCTGAATCCCAAAACTAAAATATGACAATATCAGAACCAAAAACAAAAGTGATATGGTTCAAAAGACTAGAAAAGACTGACTTTGACAATAGACACATCCCACTTGGAAAACAAACATGGCGGTTTGTTTGATGCTCACTTTTTTGGAAAATCCTTCCCAGTATGGGTTGTGCAATGACCGGAAGTCCAAAATTCGTGATGCATCTATTGTTTCACTTTTAATTGCAAATAATTCATTCAGCAATTCATACACTGTTTATGAACATAGCAACATAGCATCACTGCTCTACATGATCCTGGTGTTTTTATTTTACGATTTAATGTTGATAATAATGAATTTTATTTATTACGCTTTGCATTTGAAGGGAAATCTCAAAATGCTACAATAAATCAAGATATGAACAGGTTTCATTGGCAGTGTTGCTAAGCGCCCGCTCCCTGCCAAACCAGCGGAGCGAGCGGGAAGGAGCGTTAAAGGGACAGTTCAGAATTTTGGACATAGGACCTCATTTCCTAGTGAGCCAGAGTGTTGGAGACGTGTGGAGACACTTTTGAAATATTCCATCCAGTCCTTGTATTTGCAGAGGTCACTGGTGCTAGGCTAGTGCATGTCAATGGCCATAGTTCTCCTGCCACTAAAAACAGTCTTACCCACTCCACAAAACACCTGAAGAAAATTTATTATTACACCAGACTGTCCATGTGAATATCTGTGTTGATAAAATTTTAGAAGTAAAACCAATCTTACATTTGAAGGATTTCTGTCTGAGCAGCAGCAGTGAGTTGTACTTCCTGATAGAAAGCTCAGCAGCGGCGTACTGATATATGAGAAAATAGTCCCTCAACATGCGACAATTCATGCGATGCAAGGTTAGTTTTACTTCAAACATCATTCTATTGGCACAGACATTTACATTGACAGTCTGGTGTAATAATAGATTTGTTTCGGGTGTTTTGTGGAGTGGGTAAGACTGTTTTTAGTGGCAGGATAACTATGGCCATTGACATGCACTAGCATAGCACCAGCGACTTCTGCAAATACAAGGACTGGATGGAATATTTCAAAAAGTGTCTCCACACGTCTTCAACACTCTGACTCACTAGGAAATGAGGCCCTATGTCCAAAATTCCGAACCGCCCCTTTAACTTCAACAGCATTGCTCCTGGACTTCAAAATATGGAATTCTGTTCCAAATTTGCCCCTGTAGCCGCTTCGATGAGCTTCATTTGACTGGAGCTGAATGACGCAGGTGACGTGACAGTGACGTGAGAGTGTTCCCTTCCATTCTATTCAATTTAAGAGTTCAGTTTTAGGTTTGCGAATGTTCTGTTCAAAATTCCTTTTGCTTGGACAATACAAAAAACACAAGTGCCCCATTAATGACTGAAAAAATCCTACCATTTGTCCGTGTTCATATGAAGAATGAATCTAAGAGAAAAACTGACGTGTAATGATGGTCAACAACTGTTTCATCACTGGTTTGGATGTTTTCAGGCTTTAGGAGACGGTGCAGACAGAGACGCCCTCAGAGCCACAATCAACGACAAGTACCACGAGTTTATGCCAGAAAGTCCATCTCAGGTATGTTTAGAATAATAACTGCATTTTTAAATTTCAAAATGTGAAAAACAGAACTATGAACTCAGAATCAGAACTCTGATCTATGTTCTAATGTCGTTTCCTCATCACAAATAGAGCTGGACTTGTGTTTTGTTTCATTCACACATTCACACACAAACCCTGCACACTTAGGCTCAGTCCCTCTCTCAACCTGAAAACACTCTGTTCCACCTTGTGATGTCATGTGGTAATACAGGGAGTGCTCCACTGTGTTTTTATACTCCACACACCTTCACTAGAATCAACCGTAGATTTGTCTAACTTTGAAGTTTGTTTTAACCTGACTTAAACTGATTAATTCCTCGGTGCACCAGCTCATAAGAGACTTTCTATTGATAATCTCAACTGTCCAAAAGGGAAAACAAAAATTTTCCAAAATAAAAGCGACAACTTAATGTTATTCAAGAATATTGAAGAGTAAAGCCATTCAGTTAAGGCTAAAAAGAAGCCTGATTCATCATCCGGTTTCACTTTGTGGAAACCGTCTGACCTTGCAGCATTAGAATTCGTTCGCTTGATGATAGGCGGGTACTTTTTTATTTAACCATTCGCTGCTATTTAGTTGTGACGTATGTAATGCGCAAAATCCCGCAGGAACAAGGTCAATAACGTCTTTCCCCTTGATAAAATTCACCAAACATTCTCTTTGTTCCGGCTTTAAATCCTCGATCTCACGAATCGCTGCCAACACAGAATGTCTGTCTTCGTCTACATCCATCTCGACGCTTTGTTTACTGTTGTGCTGTTTCACAAAAGGGACACAGACAGACGCCACGAGTTTGAGGTCATGGCTTCACAGCTCACAGCTGATTGGCCGGTATGCGGTCTACAACTTCCGGGGCTCTTGCAAACCGTCCAGTGTATTCTGATTCCTGACCTGACTAGCTAAAAATAACTGTTAACTGTAAAATACCAATTGATGACATCACAAGGTGAAATAGAGCATTTTAATGTTTGGGATGCAGACGGCCTAATAATACCGTATTTTCCGGGCTATTAGACGTGCTCTTATGCCTCTAACCCCATCAAAAAACGACTGCACCCCACAATCCAGAGCGCCCTATACACGAATCCACTTGGGTGTCCCAGCACGACTTCAATAAACTACAAAGCTGCACCACCCGCAGTGCACGCAAACACACACGGAGCAGACAGCGACCACACAGCGAAAAACACCTGCAGCCACACTCCTCACTCCACGCCGACGAGGAACGGAACAGAGGAACGAACTGAAAAAGCGAGTGCAATGTGCCACTTCTAGACACGACTGAACAACTGAGTCACTGCAAACACGCCGACAATCCAGTGGTCCCAGACAGCACCCTCCCTACACGCCACAACTGAACAAAGCCCAGAGTCACTGTGAACGCCACAAACAAACAAAACCACTCACCCATCACACTATTGTGTTTCCTTTAATGTCCGGTGCTGTTTATTTGTGAAAAAAGCTCGAAAATAGACCATTTAATGACCTTATAATCCAGAGCGCCTAATAGTGCGGAAAATACAGTAACTTAAAAATGTGTGAATGAGGGGTGATCTTGAGGAGGTAACAGCATTCTAACACAAATAAAAAGTCACTTAAGTCAGTTTGGCATAATATAGGATCTTTAATTGTGGAGTCATTTAGATGTGTTTTTTAAATTTATTTTCAGGAATCTTGTGAAGAGAGCAGCTGCACTCTGCAAATGAACCAGGAGGAAGCCACGCCTGTGACTGAAGAGATCAACGAATGATGATCGGAAAACGAAACTAAACACTAACACATTTCCTTTAGTTTAACATGTATACTATAAAAGAATCTTCACTAATGAGAACTTTTAACTAGGTCTGCACATTTGTAACAGTGGTGCAGAGCAATTTATGATTTAAATTTTTATATCACAACAAACTGTACTTTACTAAGACAGCTAGGGATGCACCCCTACCATACTGGTTTTGGATATCGTTGCTGATTTTTGGTGGATCGGATATCGGTTTCCAAGATGTCGGTTCAGTCAATATCCCATTTTGGTTTATAATATGATGTAATAAGACAATTTACTGGCCAAAAATGAGTCATAATATCAAGCCTACAAAGCTGTTCTGCAGTTACAAAACACATCTGGAACATTTTTACCTTTTTGTGTTTAATGGAAATGTCAGTGTTGGGAAGGTGACTTTTAAAATGTATTCCCCTACAGATTACAGATTACATACCTCAAAATGTAGTTTGTAACGGAATCCATTAAATTACTGAAGGTGAGTAACGGAATCTGAATACTTTGGATTACTTAATTTGCTGTAGAGAAGCAAAGACGAGGAAATTGTAACATAAGAAGTTTTGTCCTGGTTTAGACCTAGTTTAGACCTGGTTTAAGCCTGGTTTTAGTCCTGGTTTAGACCTGGTTTAAACCTGGTTTTAAACCTGGTTTTAGACCTGGTTTTAGACATGGTTTTAGACCTAGTTTAGACCTGGTTTAAGCCTGGTTTTAGACCTGGTTTAGACCTGGTTTAGACCTGGTTTAGACCTGGTTTAGACATGGTTTTAGACCTGGTTTTAGTCCTGTTTTAGACCTGGTTTTAGACCTGGTTTAGACCTGGTTTAAGCCTGGTTTTAGTCCTGGTTTAGACCTGGTTTTAGACCTGGTTTTAGACCTGGTTTTAGACCTGGTTTAGACCTGGTTTAGACCTGGTTTTAGACCTGGTTTAAGACCTGGTTTTAGTCCTGGTTTAGACCTGGTTTTAGACCTGGTTTAGACCTGGTTTAGACCTGGTATAGTGTCTGGCAATGAGTGAAATTACAGGGAGTGGGGGGGGGATATAGCCCAAAATGTAAAAACAGGAAAATATTGCCGTGTAATCCACTTATTTCAACAAAGTAACTGTAATCCAATTACCACTCATTGAAACAGTAACTGTAACTGAATACAGTTACTCATAATTTGTACCCTGATTACATAACTCTGGTACATGTAATCAGTTACTCCCCAACACTGGACATCTTTAAATACCTAAAGCCCAAGTATCGACATCAGTATCGAAACAGAAAAAGATGGATCGGTGCATCCCTACTGACAGCATACTTTTACTCCTCCTACTTGAGTATCAGTGTGACAGTAGTAACTAATTCTACTAATACTCAAATACTCAAAGCTTTGTACATTGCATTATTCATTCACTGCTAAATCACGAGGTTACGTCTGTAGTCATACCTGCCCTGGGGCTTCTTGACTGAAACATGGCTGCCGGTTTATGATTTTTGTTTAATCCCTCCTTTGGTTTACAGTTGGACTAGTCTTGGGTAGGTTAAATTTAGTCTTGGGGTCCAGTAACATTTGTCCTGGTTCAGTCCTGGTTTGAGCCCAGTTTAGTCCTGATGTAGTCTTGTTTAGGTCCTGGTCTAGTCCTCATCTTGTCACCCTAGTCAAGTCCAGGTTTAGCCCCAGTTTAGTCCCAGTTTTGACTCCAGTTCCTTTATCTTATATTGTTGTATGGGTATAGTTTTACAGTGCAGCCGTAAACTGAGCCATATATGCAGCTTTATTTTGACCGTCTGTCAAATATTTGTGTATCTGTGAAGCACTACAGATGGATACTAATTCTTAAACAATAACTTTTTTACTACATGCATTTGATACAAAGCTTAATAAATACCTTTTTTCTAAACTGCTGTCTATTTTACTATTCACACAAAAGAAAGTGTTAAATTGTGGTTTGTGAAGGTCTTTTGGTGACTGGATCTAGAGTAGTCCGGTAAGTGTCTGGGGAGCGGGAAGTCATAAAATCTCTATAAGATATTATCTATCTTAGAAATAATAGAAGTGTATGTATGCGCACACTCTAGGCTACTTCAGTGAACATAGAAAACACGACAAAACCTTGTACTCATCCCTACACATACACAGTCCATCAATGAATCTCTCACTGTCAGGAATTTTGTGAGGTGTTCAAGTCGCTGGAATGTAGAGGCCAAAAAAATTGTGTTTATTCAGGATTTTATGAACCTGCTCCAAACTTGGCTCTGATTGACCACAGCTAGTACCATATGACTAGAGCAGAGGGTTGCCATGGAGACTCTGATGAAGAGCGATGAAGTAAAGCTATGTCCCTTGCCTCAAGATGTTCTCTGTTTTAGCATTTAAACTTTTAAATGAGCAGTTTTCTTTTTCAGAGATGGTGAGTGATGAAGTAGTAGTGATGAAGTAGTACAGTATTTCCTGCATTTTTGCTGCATTTTAACATGTCAAGTAGTTGAATATAGAGTCCTCCTCAGTGGAAGTTAATGGCACCTGAGCCCTCTCATACAGAAGGATGAATGGAGATGATGTGTGTCCCTGTAGTTTTTAGTTCATGTTGATAGGTTAAATAAGTTTATCTTAAATAAGAGAAATGCACCTTTAAAGTGAACAGACTATGAATTCATTATACAAGGCCTATTTACATACCATGGAAACTGAGGCTCTCCTCTGCTTCTTCCTCTAAAATCCAACTTAGAGAAAGTAAACAGGCCTGTTCTGACCCTTTTTAAGTAAAACAGCTGATTGTCCGTGTTTCCAACATGTAACCGATTGTTACTCTTGATGTTACTCTTATTTGAGTAGTATTTTTCCCAAATACTTTTTTTTACTATTACTTCAGTCATTTCTTGGACTACTACTTTGAACATCTACTGGAGTAAAAAAGTAACTTGACTACAATTTTTGACTACTACCCACCCCTACCGCTAAAAACCATATAGTATTTAGAGTTACTAATTTCTTGGACCACATCTTTGTACTTTTACATGAGTAATATTATTTTATTTTTGGCTCCCTCTGCCTCTTACTGTTGTGTTTTAAATGCCCTATCTCTGTATGCCTATATGTACTTGTAATACAAAACTGTGCACTAGAGAGCGCATGTGCCCCTGAACAACTCTGACATCTCTGGGAGTTTCAAGTAACAATGTCTTTGACTAATATTAAACATACATGTATTATGTAGATGTAGATATATGTGTAGATATGGATGTATTGTGTAGATTTAGATACATACATCTACATCTACACAACACATCTATATCTACACAATGCATCTATATCTACACAATACATCTGTTATGTCCCCTATGTCCAACAAGGGACACAACGAGTATAAAACAATCCTTGAGGCAAAGTAGGTTTGGCAAACTTTTTATTTTTAGGCCAAACATTCACCAACGTGCACAAAAAACAAACAAAAGGTTGGTGGGAGGAGGTGTGTGCCAGTTGTGCCAAATCAACAAACCAAAAAGTATAACAAAACAGGCCCTAACTGAAAACTAGGCTACAAAAAGGAAAGAAATCAAAAAGCCCTGCCTACCTGATCTAAAAAAGGAGAATTTGGATAACTCAAAACAACAAGGGTGGCAACAACTGATAACTAATGTGTCTAACAAAGAAAATCTACGTGATGTGAAATGTATAGGGATCCCCCAACTTACTTAACCAATCCTCCCAACCAAACAACCCTTGGCTAGCAGTCTTACACACGGAGAGGGAGTGACAGAGAGAGGCAGCCCACAGCTCCTTTTAAATGGCCCTCTCCACCCTGATTGGCAGCTAGCTGGCCAATCAGCTCCAGTTCAGGTCCCACTCACAGCACCTGAAGACACAGGGCAGAGGAGAGAGCAGTACACAAACCAAACAAATGCTTGCATGTAACAACATCTATATCAAGACAATACATCTACACAATACATCTATATATACATGATACATCTACATTTACACAATACATCTACACAATACATCTATATATACACAGTATTGTGTAGATGTAGATGTATTGTGTATATATATATATATATGTATTTTGTAGATATGAATGTATTGTGTAGATTTAGATACATCCATTTTGTAGAAACAAAAGCTTATAACCTGACTTTAAATTAATCGATTGGTTTTAGAAATGTCTCATATGAAAGCTAAAACCCTCCCAAATTATGCTCAATATACTAAAATAAATTTGCTTCACTGAAGAAAGATTGATCATTTAATGAACACAGAAAGGTCAGATTTTGGCAAGACAAAAAGTCTTGTCGCCTTGTCATATGATGCACCCAATCCTAGATTACAGCCTCACCTGTGATCAGTTACTGATCAATCAATTAGTGGGTGTGTATAAAAAGAACCCCAGCACACCAAACCTTCACATCAACTGCAACTTGACCTCTGACAACATGCCTAAGATCCACCCTGAGACCAAAGCGTTAATTATCAAGAGGCTGAAGACCAGATCCACTGCTGAGGTGGTGACACCTTCAATGTGTCTCAGCGTCAAGTACAAAGAATAAGAAAAAGATCTGAAATGACTGGAGATGTTTTTGACAAGCCCAGGTCCGGCAGACCCCGCAAGACAACTGCTCAGGAGGACCGTTTGTTTGATTCGAAAATCCAAGGCCCCCTTTTCCACTGCAGCAGACTCCACCAGGCCTGGTCACCTCAAGTCCCTGTGTCAACCAGAACAGTTTGTAGAATTCTGTCTCCAAATGGCCTCCATGGTCGAATCAGTGCACAGAAACCAGCACTAAACAAAAGGCAATTAAAAAACTGTGTGGCATTTGCCAAGGCCCACAGCCTGCTAAAAGGATGGACACTGGAAAAGTGGCAGAAGGTGGATTTCTCAGATGAATCCTTGGTTGAATTACATCACAGCCGCCGCAAATATTGCAGGAGACCTACTGGAGCCCGCATGGATCCAAGATTCACCCAGAAAACAGTTAAGTTTGGTGGTGGAAAAATCATGGTCTGGGGTTCCATCCAGTATGGGGCTGTGTGAGACATTTGCAGGGTGGAAGACAGTATCAATAACCTAAAATATCAAGAAGTATTAGCTCCTCTTACATTCCCAATCATAAAAGGGGTCAGATTTTGCAGCAGGATGGTGCTCCATCGCATACGTCTATCTCTACATCAAAGTTTCTCAAGGCGTAGAAGATCAAGGTGGTCCAGGACTGGCCAGCCCAGTCACCAGACATGAACATCATTGAGCATGTCTGGGGTAGAATGAAAGAGGAAGCATGGAAGGCAAAACCAAAGAATCTTGATGAACTCTGGGAGGAATGTAAGACGCTTTCTTTGCTATTCCTGATGACTTCATCAACAAATTGTATGAATCATTGTCGAACCGCATGGATGCGTCCTTCAAGCTCATGGAAGTCATACAAGATATTAAATATGGATCTCACAGCACCACTACTTAATTCACTGACGTTATGCAACATATTTTTGTATTTGAAGTAAATTATTTGTTCAATTTTCTGTTGGTGACAAAACTTTTGTCTTGCCAAAATCTGACCTTTCTGTGTTCATTAAATGATCAATCTTTCTTCAGTGAAGCAAATTTATTTTAGTGTATTGAGCATAATTTGGGAGGGTTTTAGCTTCATATGAGACATTTCTAAAACCAATCAATTTAAAGTCAGGTTATAAGCTTTTATTTCTACAAAATGGATAAGTGACAAGACTTTTGTCAGGGACTGTAGATGTATTGTGTATGTATCGATGTATTGTGTACATTGTAATACAGCTACATGTACACAATACATCTACACAATACATCTACACAATACATCTACTCAATAAATCTCACATTTGATATTCTGTGAGTTATGTTGACAGAGACAGATTTCAGTGACTCAGGTCAGGTAAGTCAGG